CAGTCAGGTGTGTGCTTTATTCTTTTGCTCTCAGGGTCGATGGAGAGGAAGTCAGGATGTGCCCTAGAGGCCGCGCTTCTCATCCCAATCCTAGTGCCAAGCACGGAGCCAGGCCCCTGGAGACTCAGTTCCCAGCTCTGCGTGGGGACCCAGCTGGCTCCTCCTGAGCTGCCACCACTGAGCACTCCTACCTGAGGAATCTAGAAGCTTCTCTCTGACATCGGCTTAGTCCTTATCCTCCTATGCCTGACGAATCATCCAAATCTTAAAGAGGAAGCAGCTTATTTCCCAGAACCGAGGCATAAACTAAGCAGGGAGCTAGTTCCCATGAGTTCAGCTTTGCCTTAGGGACCAACTTAACTCATGAGCCTAATTTTTTCATGTACTTTTTGTTTTATCAGCCAAAGCAGACAAATACCTTTCTGAGTCTGTATTTTTAATGATCCCGGGTCCTTTGTGGTCTGCCTTCGGGAAATGTTATGTTAATTTGTGTCTGCCAGAAGCTGACATCCTGAGGGAGCTGTCCCACTACCGGAACTTGGGGACCCCCTCTTCCCCAGACCCCCACCCACCCGGAAGAGCTCGCACAGCCCCTGTGTCCCAGCTTCACGGACCCATTGTGCACGGAAGGCTGAGAGCAAGCCGGCAGGGTCTGCTTCGAACCCGCGACCCCATGGCCATTCCATGAGTCAGCTTCTGGGGTCATCTCCACTAGGACATTCAGGTTTGGATTTGAGCCTTTCTTTTTCTTTTTTTTTTTTAAATTTATTTATTTTTAGAGAGAGGGGAAGGGAGGGAGAAAGACAGGGAGAGAAACATCAGTGTGTGGTTGCCTCTCACATGCCCCCTACTGGGGACCCGGCCTGCAACCCAGGCGTGTGCCTGGGCTGGGAATTGAGCCACCGTCCCTTTGGCTCGCAGGCTGGCACTCAATCCACTGAGCCACACCAGCTGGGAGGATTGGAGCTTTTCTAGTGAGTATGTGATGGAATCTCATTGTTTCAATCCCAATTACACTTTCTAAGTCATCTCCACTGGGGGCTGCCACAGGGGAGCCTGCCAGCTCCCCCTCAGCTGCACCCTTCCTCAGCAGGGATGGAAGGAGGGCGGCGGAAATGAGAACAGGCGCTTGCATTTTAAGACAGATTTATAGAAGGAGACAGCAAGGGGCTCTCATTTACTCAACAGTCAGTGTGCACCAGAAGCAGTGCCTGGACCTGGTGCGTACTTCACTCCTTGCATTTGTTGAGTGGATGGATGGATGGATGGATGGATGGATGGATGGATAGGGATCTGACCTGGTCCCAGTCTCATAGTTTCAATGGTAACAGCAGCCTAGGTCCTAACTCCCCCAAAGGTCGTGCTCCCACTGGCCAGCTTTTCATCTGCTGGGGGTCAACACGGACCTCCATGCTCGGGACACTTCCTGTCCTGGCCACGCTGAACTGGCCCCAGCCACGATGCTGGGTGATGCGAGGTTCATTCAGAAGCCTGGCTGGGGGTGGCAGGAGGTGGGCAGGGGCCTGGCCATGGGTGTCAGGCTCCTAAGTTCAGAAAAGGCTTGAGGAAAGGTGACCGCAGAGGAGGGGCTGGGAAGGAGAGGACGCAGGGCCACAGACGGTGCCCTTCCAGCCAGGGGATGGCAGAGCGGCGCTCAGAGGGACCCTCATTCTAGGTGGAGACGGGGCTCCCCAGCTCCCAGGCGGCAGGGGTCTGCGGGAGGGACGTGAGCAGACCCGGCCAGGAGGAGCGAGGCCAGGCAGATGAGAGAGCCACAGAGAGAGAAGCTTCAGAGAATAGGTGGGGAACATGCTGGAAACTCATTTCCTTTAGCCTCATTTATTAATAAAAGGCCATTCAGGACGTATCCAGTCTCAAGAAGAAAGAACCCCGTGTCCCAGGTCCTGGTGAGGGGGCCTTCTCCCGAGCCCTGCACCGACCAGCTTCTCCTTGGTCCCAGTGAACTTCCTGTGTGGTCAGGTAGCTGCTCAGGAAGTGAAGGCCGGTGAGGAGGAGGAGCTCATGGAAGCAGAAGTCGCACTTTCCTCTGAGAAAGGAAATGCAGCAGCTCGTTCGACCTCTTGACCTCTGTCTCTGGCCTCCTGGGTGCAAAGCGCTGAGGCTCGCCCACGGGGACCGGCCTCGCCCACAGCCCCCAACGGGCACACGGGCCTCTGTGCTGGGCTCCCAATGGAGGCACATTAGCTAGAAAGCATTATTCCAGCTCTAATTTATTCAATGTCCATCTTTCCCCTACCCCAGCCGTTGGGCGTGGTAGGCAAGCTTTTTGCTTCACAGTTTTCATTGGAACCTAAGGGGCAGTTCCTAGAAGTGCACATGGGGGGTGATGGTATTCAGGACAGAGAGACAATAGATGTCCACTCCAGTGGAATAGCGTCTCTTGGGTGACATTATAAGAATAACAACACAACTATAGTATCTCCAAAGAGATCGGGAAGGTCATTGAATCTCCACAGTAAGAAACTGTGGGGCAAACGTCGGCACTAGGTTGGCAACTGCTAACGGCCCCTCACCCGCGTGATCCAGCTGGTGACAAGCTGGGCGCGGGCTTTGCCTTCCACGGAGCTGCTGGGTCACCTGAGTCTGGCTAGGTCTTCGGAGGCAGGAGCCAGGGGAGAGTTCACTGAGGGGGGCTCAGGGGCCCCTGGACTGTGGGCCATGGTCCCCAACAGGGTGACTCAGAGGTCTTGGTCTGGCTCAAACTCTGTCCTTCCGGGCACAATAGAATTTGCAGGCGCATTGCTGACCAAACCCTAAACGTGGTGTCCAGTGGGAGAGCGTTTGTCAGCAGCTAAAGGGGAAAGAAAAGGGACTGTAGCCTCCCAGTGGGGAGGAAGGTTCCAGCTGCCATGATGGGGAGGCACCTTCCTGTAGCCTCATGAGGCCGAGAGCCAGGGCCCACCAGTTAGGACAGCCGGCAGGTGGGCATGTCTGCACAGGTGTTCAAAGGGAAACGTTCCGCAGAGCGCCAAGGGCTGGGGGCGTGGGGAAAAGGGGGGCATGGGGGTCAAAGGGCACAAGCTGCCAGTTATGAGATGCACGCATTCGGGGATCTAACAAACAGCACGGTGACTGTCGTTAATCAGACCATGGTGGACACTTGAAATTTGCTGAGAAGGTAGATCTGAAACTTGTCAGCAAACAAAGCAACCGAAAGCGCAGCTATGTGTACTGACAGAAGTGATAACTTGATTGTAGTTATTACTTCGCGATGTACGTGTATATGAAATCATCATGTTTTGTGCTTTAAAAGAAAATCACATTTACACCTTAAATGTGTGTAAGTTTTAGGTCAGTGATCCCTCAATAAAGCTGGGGAAAGAAAAGGCCAAAGGGACGGTTCCCAGTGGTGCCCCGGTGTGCGTTTGCCTGGGCCCCCCCCCCCACAGGTCGGCCTCTCCTCTGGGGAAGAGATGCTCCCTTTGGCGCGAGGGCCCATGACCCACGTGGCACAAAGTGACCGAGTCCAAGGGTGGGTTTCCGTGAGTGGGGTGCTTGAACAAGGAGGCACCATGTCCCGCGGACATTTTTAATTATTACGATTATTTTTAAGAGGGGCAATACTATTTCCCGCAAACAGATTTATTTTTTAAATCCACGCCCGAGGATATTTTTATTGATTTGAGAGAGAGAGAGAGAAACATCAGTGTGAGAGAGAAACATTGATCAGTTGCTTCCTGTACGCGCCCCGACTGGGGATGGAACCCGCAACCCAGGTATGCGCCGTGAACGGGATACAAACTCACAGCCTTTTGGTGCACAAGATGATGCTCCAACCAAGTGAGCCACACCAGCCAGGCTCCCTCAGACAGTTTTAATTAATCTTTTTTTTTTTTTTTTAAAGATTGTATTTATTTTTAGAGAGAGGAGAAGGGAGGGAGAAAGAACCAGAGAACCATCAATGTGAGAGAGAAACACTGATGGTTTGCCTCCCTCACACTCCCAACTAGGGACTTGGCCCGCATCCCAGGCCTGTGCCCTGACCGGGAATCGAACCAGCAACTTTTCGTTTTGCATGACGGTGCCCAGCCCACTGAGCCACACCAGCCAGGGCTTAATTAACCTTACTTAAACAGCACTAAAAGAGACGAAATCATTTCCTCAGGTTTTTCAACTGTGCTCTCGGCATGAGGTAGTGTGTGAGGCCTAGTAGCCCCATGGGAGACCAGGGCAGTTGTGCTGAGCTGGGGCCCAGGAGTGGGCCCAGCCCTCAGAAATGGGGGGACGGGGGGGTGTGGGAGCCAGGGTGCAGGAGGAGAAGGAGGCAGGTGAGGCAGGAAGGCCAGCCCTGGGGCTGGGCCCCGCGAGGCTCCCTGTCCCCCCTCAGCCTGGGTACCCAGAGCCGTGTCCTCGCTGGGCAGAGGGATGTCCAGTCTCTCAGGCCTCAGAACCAGAGACTCACAGAATCACCCTCTTTGGTGTGTGTGTGAGTATCAGTCAGTGTTCTCATGGGCAAGAGCCATCAAAACCCAACTTGATTAGCAAAAAAAAAAAAAAAAAATTAAAAACACCTCAGGACATGTATAAGAAGCTCAGGTGTATCAGGCACAGGAGGTGTTGAGCTGGTCTCAAGAATGACAGGAACTGAGGACCGGCCAGTGCTCCGTCTCTGTCCCTTTTCTCTCCCATGCCTGCTGCTCCTCCCGGTGCTTCGGTCCCCAGCCCTGCGCCCGAGGACCTCCAGCAGTGAGGACTCAGCCGTCCGAACCGGGGCTCCATCCAGCAGCTCCTGACCCGACGGCCCCTGGCGGGTGGGGAGGGCTGTTATCGACCTGAAGAAGTGGGACCCAGGTGCTGGCCCTCCAGGCAACGGTGACGCTTCCGGAGGGTCCGAGCTGTGTCCCCGAGCTTGCAGAGCAGGGAGGGAGGCGGCCAGCCAGCCCCAGGAGAATCCAGGGGTCTCTGAAGGGCTCCTTCCCCGGTCCGTGCCTCTTCTGGGAATGGGGTCCAGGCTCTAAGGGGTCTTCTCACCCATCTGTCTAAGGGGCTCTGTTTGCGGCCAGGTCAGAGGACAAGTTCGTATAGATCGGCTCTTCACTCTGCTCCTCAGGGGCCCTCTGAGGCCTCTTCAGCCAGAGGATAGCACCGACCAACAGCAGTAAGATCGGCACTTTCACGAATACCAGGAGCATGTAGTGGTTCCTGTTGGAGGGGACAGAGCTGTCAGAGCCCAGGGCCCCTGTGGCCCTGTCACCCCCGGGGCCCTGACGCCGGAGCATTGGCCACCCAGCCGAGCCTGTGACCCCAGCAGCAGCCTCCCCCTGAAGACCGCCGCCCTCCCCCCTCCTCCCCTCCCCCGCCAGGAGCCTCCTCAGAGTTCGCCTCAGCGTCTTGGTTTTGCTTTGGACGGGGTGCAGCTTCCCCCCGGGACCCCCTGTGCCCGACGGGCACCTCAGCCCAGGAGCAGTGCCCGCTGTCACCCAGGACAGGCTGCTGGCCTGTATCCTTGCTGTTCCACTAAGTTACTCTCCTGTTCTGTGGCACCTGACGCCTTGGGTCATGGAGCTTTGTGTCTTATCTGTCCTTGGCACCCACCAGGTCCCCGAATGGGGGATAAGGCTACATAGGAGCGTTCCGCAGAGAGGTTGTCTGGTGAGGGTCGGGGAGGGGAGGTGGCCGGGAAGGCGGGAGACGGGGCCGGGCTCTGGGCCTTGATGCTGCCTGTGACAGATGACCACGCAGGGTCAGGGGGTCCCCGGTGCAGATGCCCCATGGGAGAGGCCCCAGGTAGGGACAGGAGTAAGGACCGAAGCCACTCACCTGATGGAGCCAGAAGACACCCCTCCATTGTTTTTGGCAGCTGTCCCGGACAGCAGGCTCTTGGACTGGGACAGATGTCCTCCCTCTAGACACAGGCAAAGTCGGCCACAGGTTATGGCACAGACCGGGGGCTGGTATGTGGCGCATGCTCCCACCCCCACCCTGCCAGCCCCCACCCCCACCCTGCCGGCCCCCACTGGCCACAAGCCCCCCCCTCCCCGGACTGGTAAGCTTGGTTCCTTCAGAGACGCCTCTTGGGCTTCTCCCCTGCCTACGGAGTCATCCAAACCTCACACACAATCATTTTTCCCATCGTTTCAGATGTGGCAAGAAAAAAAAAATTAAATGGGAGTAGGCGCTTGAGTTTATTCTGAGGGGAGAAGTCAATCTTTTCATAACCTTCCTCCTGTGAGCAAGACTGTTGGTTTGGGGGGAAAAAAAACCCTGGTCTTTTGCTCAGGCACAGAAAGATCTGGGAATGGGGCTTCTCGTTATTCGGGTGCTGAGGGGGAGGAGCCCCCCAAAGGCTGGCGAGCGAGAGGGCACATTCTGGTTCCATAGTGAACAGCGACTCCAAGGAAGGAAGCAAGAAAGGAAACGTCTTTATGGAAAGCTGTGCAGCAGTTTATGGCGCGCGTGGCCAGGGATTCCTGAGCCCAGTGCCCAGCGTCCGCGACACTCCTTGCGTTTGTGTCCTTGGTCCGGCACCCTGCTCTACAAGTCCCCACCTGTGGTCATGCTGGGGGCCCCTGGCAGAGCCCCAGGTGGCTTGCAGTTGCCACATCTCCTCTGGAGCCTACTGATCACCTTACAGGCTGGGGCCTCCCCGCTCCTCACCCAAGACACCTGTTTGTCTTTCTTCCTAAAGCCCCGCATGGGGCACACTCTCAGACCGTCTGGGTCCTTGCTCACGCGTTTTAACCAACCCCTTCTATGTCCACACAGAGCTTAGCTGCCCCTACTGGGTAGCCAAGGGCGACTTGGCTTGGCTGGTCCTCTCCGAACTCCCTCCGCCCTTCGGCAGCCTCTGTCTCTCTCAGCTTCGCTCACTTGCCCTTCCTGCCCCGCCTCCGCCTGCCGGTCCCTCGGGCTCTCAGGCACGGGTTCTCAGGAACTCAGCCATTCCCCGTCCGGCCCACGAGGAGGGCGGCAGGGCCCTCCCTCTTCTAGTCCCGGGCACGGGGGCCGCAGGGGAGAGACGAGAAGGCCCTTACGTGGCTCGATGATCAGGCTAACTCTTGCTCCAAGGTCAGGTCCAGGCTTTTTAATCCCACACCAGTAGGCGTCCTCGTCATCTCGCCTGAGGTCCTGCGTGGTCACTGTGATCAAGCGGTCTCTCTGATTGTCCCTAATAGACACCCGGCCTTTCTTCACTTCTTGCTCTGATCCTGTGGTTTCAACGAGGATCTGGCAAAAACGCCAGTTGGCTCCTCGACACCACCACTTCCCGTTGTGCTCCCATCCTGGATCATAGCGACACTGCACGGTCAGCGAGCCCTGCTCCGGGCCTCTCACCAGCTGTGGGCCTTGGATGGGGAAACAGCCTGGAAAACAGAATCCCAAGGTACAGACCCTGCCCGGCCGAGCCACGGCCCGACCTGGAGAACCCTGGGCTCAGGGGGCCGCAGACAACTGTCCACTGGACCCGGGTCTCCGGCCTTCCTGGCCGGCCCCTAGCAGACTCCTCACCTCTACCTTCCCCCTTGTCCAGCTTCCCCATCTCCTTCCTCAGTGACAAGTTGCTCCAGCCTCGTTGGTCCTCATCTCCCCAAACACGCTCACAGTACGTGAGCCTCTGATTGTCTGACACCTTCCTAGCTGTCCTCTCAGCGCTATTCCCGTCTGCTCTCCGACGATGACACTGCCTCAAAGGCTCCCACAGCTTCTCTTCCTCTCTCCTTAAATCCTCGTGTAACCAGGGGGGCGTGGGTAAATATTTAACACCCAGCCCTCTGGGGGGAAAATCTCCGGTTTGCAGTATTTTCCAGTTTCCGTAGCGGCTGATGGCGGGTGATCAGCGGATGTCACTGGAAACAGAGTTGTCCTTGTGAACCAGTGTGAGCAGCTCCAGCACACCCCAGTGTGGCGGCGGGGGCGGGGGCAGGGCTCTCTCCAGCCTTCATCTCGTCTTGTTTTTGTCTGTCCTCATGGAGTTGTCCTCTGGTTCTGTGGTTTCCGTGTTTGCCCTTGTGCTGATAATTTCCAAATCCGTATTTGTAGCCCAAATTCCACGCTTAGCTCCAGCCTACCATTTTCTAATACACTCTGGATCCTCCCTCTGGGGAAGGTCCACAGACAGGCCAGCAATGGTCTGATGGAAGTGGAATAGGTTGTGGGCGTGTGTAAGCCACACAGGCACTCTGCTGTCCTCTCAGTCAACTCCAGTTAAGCTGACTGTCCAGGTGCGCTCCCCATCCTTGGCAGTGACTGGTGGTTCCTCAACCTCATGGGAACAAGTGAGCTCGAAGAAGCACAGCAGAAGCCTCTCTTGACCAGCTCATAGCCACCGAGTCTCGAGGCCAGGCTAGGGCTGGGGGCTAGGGGGTGGGATGTCTCTGCGTAGCACCAGGATGTGCTACCTCAACACACCTCTGACCTTCAGCCTGAAGCTATTTTAGTAACTTGGAGGTTTGCATGTGCAGTAGGCAGAATAATGCCCCCCAAAGAAGCTGACGTCCTAATCCACCAAAACTGTGGCTATATCATCTTACCATGGCAAAAGGGACTTTGCAGATGTGATTAAATTAAGGGATGTCATCCTGGATTTTCCAGGTGGGTCCAGTGCCATCATCAGCATCCCTATAAGTTCATGTCAGAGTTAGCGAGGGATGTGAAGATGGAGGAAGGGGTCTTGAGCCAAGGATGTGGGCAGCCTCTAGATGCTGGGAAAGGTGAGGAAACATCCTTCTTTAGAGCCTCTAGAAGGAATGGAACCTGCCTACACCTTGATTTGAGCTAATCAGATCTTGTTGGACTTCTGAACTTCAGAATCGTAAGATAATAGATTTATAACAAAGAGTAACGAAGTACTCGATCAGCAGAACTGACTTTATGCTCTTGAGCCAACAACCACACCAGCACACCTCCCTAGAGAACATGGCATCTTCCTTGAGCCCGCCTCCTCCTTCTCGCTCCACAACTGACTGGCAACTGGTGTAGCCAAGTCTACATCAATCATGCTTCTCAAAATAACCTTCTTCTTTCCTTCTCTGCTGTCACAGTTCACGAGAACAGCACAGCAGAGCAAAAAGAGAAGAACCTTTGGACACAGAAAGACACGTCTACCACAAACGAGTTGGGAAACCCTGAATGAGTCTTGCTTCTTTGGGTGTAAAATGGCAGTGCTACGTTCCACCTTGCATGTTGTATGGCTTGCGTGTGTGTCAAACCCCAGACTCCCAGGAATCGCTCCATCAGCGACAGGCTGTCCACAGGTCGGGTGGTCATCTGGTGCGCGGGTCGTGGTCACGGCATCTGGAGAGGTTCTCCCGCTCCTGTGGCCCCCTCCCCCCATCTCCCCTGCCTAGGGCTGCCAGAGTTATGTCCTGAAATTGTCTCTACCTAGTCCTCATCTGCAATCACCATAAAAATCTCTCAGGAAGCAGGCTAAGTGTCCACCAGCAGACAAACGGGTTAAAAACGGTGTGCTACCTCTATACGGTGGGATACGATTCAGCCATAAAGAAGAATGAAATCTTGTCATTTACGACAACTTCGACGGACCCAGAGGGTATTGTGCTGAGTGAAATAAGTCAGCCAGACAAAGGCAAATGCCATATCCTTTCACTTATATGTGGAACCTAAAAAACAAAGTAAACAAGCAAACAGAAATAGGCTCATAGATAGAGTGAACAAATCGATGGTTGCCAGATAAGAAGGTGGTGGTGGGGGATGGGTGAAAGGGGAAGGTATTAAGAAGTACAAATGGGCAGTTACAAAATAGCAGTGGGCGTGTAAAGTACAAACAGGGAATGTAGTCAATAACACCAATAACCGTGTATGGTGTCAGACAGCACTGGATTTATGGATGTCTAATCGCTATGTTGCACACCTGAAACTAATATAATATTGTGTGTTAACTGTAACTGAAAAAGAAAATTGTTTTTAAAAAAATGAATATTTTTTTAAAACTTTCGAGTCCTCCGGGGCCCCTCGTGCAGCCCTGCCCTTCCCCTCCCCGCTCCCTCTGGACGGTTTCAAACGCCTGCGTCTGGCCTCCCTGGGTCTGCAGCCTGGATCGCGTTCTCTGTCCGGCCACTCCTTGCCCCTTCTTGCCGCCCTCTCTGTCCCATGACCCCCACCCACTCTCCACTTCCCCTGACTCTGAGGCATCCTCCCAGGCGGCTGTGTTATTGCTCATATCCTCCTTCCCCCTGGAAACCTTTTCTCTAGCCCTTTACAGCAACCCAAGCGCCGCGTGGGATGTTATCCTCCTTAGCAGTCTCCCTCTGTCCACCTGCGAGGAGGCTCCGTCCCGAAGAGCAGAGGCCTCGCGTGCGGCTTGGCTCTCTCTTCCCACCCCCATCCCCCATGTCTTGCAGTGTCTGGATCCTGGGAGGTATGGTTGTTCTTGGCAAGGTCCTGCACCTTATGCACATTATTTTGATTCTGGGATTAACTATAATTTCCACACCGCTGGACAACAAATAGAAGGAAGCTCCTTGCAGTACTCATGTGATAGTAAATGCTGGAAACACACAAATGCCCTGAATTGAGGATTGGCTAATATATTTGGATCCATCCGTAATGTGGTGCAAAAGAAAAACACAAATCATAATGGGAAAGATGTCCCAGGAATATTACTACTACGTCAAAAATTTGCTTCACACAGTGTGTATGACTTCATTTCTGTGGAGGTTTTTTCCATAGCCCACGAGAAGGGAAAAAAATCTGAAAATACAGGTTTTGAACTGTAAGCAGTGGTCTGTATGTTTCCATTACAGGAAAATGTTTACAATGTCATTAACTGATAAAACTATAAAGATAAGTTTGAAAAAGTAAAGGAGGAGCCAATTAGGAGATAGTGACTGATGTAAATGAACACCAAATGCAAGGGCCAGCGGGCAGGTCATTTTCTTGCTTAAAAGAAAAGTAGCACAGCTGCAGTAGGAAGCAGCGGATTAGTCACAAACAGCAGAAAAGAGATGTTACTGCTTCGAAGCAGAACTTTCATCCATCCCAGCTTTGTTAACTTAATCCGACGGTAAATCACTCACAATGGGATTGGGCTCATGTTTTAAAAATATGTGGGTGGTTTTTATCAACACAGATTCCGATGGACGGAGCGGCTAATTAGGCCCACGTAACCTCGCAAGTTTGCTCAGAGAAAGAGGTAGAAATGATAAGACAGCAGCCAGCAAGGAGCGGAACTCCAGGACACGGCTGACGGGTGTTAAGAGCACCAGACTGCTTGAATTTCAATATTTTGTTTCCATGGATCTGAGATGTAAACTTCCTCTTTCGTCAAATCATTCAGGAAGATCTGCCACCTGTACGAAATCCTTGTAAACAGTCTTGTCCCCAGATGGAGAAATGGTCGGGCTCTGTGTCTGCGCCGCTAGCAGCTGACGATGACACAGAAAAGGAGGCACAAGCAGCCTGGGGAGAGCTCAGGGGAGACACCCTTGGAGCAAGGGGGGGACGGGGGGGGGGTGATGCATCAGGGCTGGAGCTCATCTTATCTGCACTCATGGGGCAAGGCGTCTCCGCTGACTTCCCGTGCAGTCATGCCAGCCGGAGCTCAGAAGTCATTTCTTGGGCACAGGTCGGCGCCCCTGGAATCTCGCCTCACTTTCCTCATGGGGAGAAAAGGAGTCTGCCTTCCCACTTGCAAACACAGACACTCTCTCTAGGCCCATCCCCTACCTTCCCCCCTGGGTTGCTGGGGACTCACGCAATGGAGCAGATAAAAGAATGTCCTACTGGAAGTTGGGTCACTCTGATTTCACCCCATCCTCTTTCTCTGCTTCATGTCACAGAAGCGACCCTCACGGTGGCTCATGGCAGTCTCCCGGTGAAAACTCAGCGCGTGGCTTTTGTTTCGTCCTAGACTAACTTCGCCTCCTCCCCAAGTTGACGCAGAGTTGGAGGGTGGAAGAGGGCCGCCCTGTCTTGTCTCCACAGCAGTTTCCCCTCCCCAAGCCACAGGCCCACCACGGGGGTCTCAGCCTTCGTCAGGCGGAGAAGTGTTTGCGTGGGAGTGTACGCAGGAGGGAGACTGTGTGCACACGCCAGCGACTGCAGGTGTGTGCAAGCGTTAGCGTCACCTGGCGGGCCTGCGAGGGCAGGGCCCGCCCTCCGAACACACCACCATCAGGGCCTTGCTGCATCCTGCGGCCTGTGTTCACCTGTACGCCTCGCCCACTGAGACGCCTGCGGCCCTCTTTATAATAACCAGTCCTGTTTCCCTGTGCCCTTCATGTCCTCAGAGCCCCGTGCATGCCTGGCACCTGGTAGGACCCCTGTGCGCTTTTGCTGAGTGAATTAACAAAGCCACCTCTCATTCCCCCAGCTGTGACACCTCCCCTTCTGCCTGGGACAGACTCTCTCTGCCCTCTGTCCTGCCCGTAGTTCTAAGTTCCCGAGGTCCCAGCGGCACTCACCTGGGAGGCTGAGAAGGAAGAGACTGAGGAGCAGCAGCCACATAGTCCTGTTCCGGGCTCCTCAGCCCTGTGGCCGACAACCAGAGAGCACCCCCGGGCCCCAGCGGGACACTTAGAGCTCTGCCTGAGCCCAGGCGTGCACCTTCTACTCGTCCAGATGACCTCTGAGTTTCTCACTCATTCACTTCCTTTTATAGAGTGAGCGTTTCCTGCTTCTAATTATTCAGCAAAAAGAGTGTCATTTCTTATCACATCTGTGTCAGAGGACCCTGGAGTCCCCATTAGGTTGGAAAGAGGAAGCACAGGTGCTGTGCAGGGTGAGCAGGGCCAGGGGGAGGGATGTCTGCAGAAGAGTCAGGAGGCACAGCTGGCCTGTGAGGCCTTGCACTCAAGGGGCACAACAGTCTACATGCCAATGCCAGGCATGGCTTGACACTACAATAATGGGTCTCCAGCAGCAGAAAACTGCCCCCTCGCCCTCCACGCGGGTGTCAGGTGAGCGTGCTGGGCATGCCTGGAGTTGCGTTTGTTCCAGTGCGATCACCAAGAACACAGGTGCAGCTGTGGGATCAGACAGACTGGGCTCTAACCCCAGAAGCACCCCTTGCAAGCTATGTGACTAGGGCAATTTGCTTAAACTTTCTGGGCCTCAGTTTTTGTATCTGTAAGTTGGGCTCATAAACGTTGTTACGATTGGAACCTGCCTTGCCATACCCATAGGCAGAAGTAGGACCATACTTTAAAATCCAATGTGGCCCTAGGACAAGCACCTTGCATTTGTTTTTTCTTCTGTTACTTCATGACCCAGCCCAGCGAGACTGTCCCCATGTTCAGCCCAGACCTGCAAACAGCTCTGGTACATCTGGGGACATGCCCTGCAGGAGGGAGGGGCCTGGGGCAGGGAGGAGGAGGGGCCAAGAGGCTCTTAGAGGGGCTGGTATTGGGCAGGTGATAAAGTCTTTACCAAACCAGCAGAGAGAGCCACGGCTCCTACAACACACAGCAGCCACGATGCATCCGGTGCAGACCACAGAGCTACCTGTCGGATCAACCTAGTGCACGCGAATTGCATCCTCTGAACTTGCCCGCCATGTGTGAGCCAGCCAATGACCCTTTAGAGAACGGGGACCCTGGACTAGCACATGGGGGTGAGAAAAGAAAAGTGGTTAGGGGAATTAAATGAGAAAATTAACCCTGGGGTAAGGTTAGGGCTCCACAACAGCATCAGCGCCCTGGGCCGAACTTTAGACTCAATATGAAGAGTGGGTAAAATCAGCCCAGGGCAGGCAGCTGGGAGGAGACCGGTGAGCTGGGCTTCCTCACTAGCAACAGGACCAATTTTATCCTTAATCTGATATCATTTCATTAGGATCCTGATATATAACCCAGTAGTGGAACTCTTGAAGAACAGTTTGGGGAAGGCAGGTGAGGGTATTTGTTCCCGGGCGTACGGAGCCAGCTGTCAGGGGAGGAGCCCTCCCTGGAAGTGCTGGGTTGCGGGGGCTCAGGACCCACTCTGAAGGGCTGAGAGAAGGCAAAGGGCTGGGTCAGGGACCAGGAACAGAGCAGAGGCCTCTGGGACATGAGTCTTGTCTGTGCTTTCTCAGGCAGGATCAGGCCAGGTATTGCCCCGCCATTTTCACTTCTCTGGGAAAGTGGAACAAGTTTGTTTTAGTATAAAAATTTCTATAGTTCATCACATTCATAGGACAAAGGCAAAAAATCACAGAATCACATAAATAGCTGCATGAGAAGCATCATATAAAATCCGTTACTTTTCATGACAAACTAAAAGGAGGAAGGTATCTGCAGGCAAACGTTCTGCAAACATCAAAACCAAAGGCGAATCGTGAAAAATCTTCCCCTTGAAAACAGGAGGAGGACTAGGATGCTCACAGTCACCTCTTTGACTGGACACTTGGGTTAACCTGTGCCGCACAACAAGGACAAGAAACAAAGGGTATGAGCATCAGAAAGGAAGAAACAAAATTTTAGCTAGTTATAGGTGAATTGATTGTCTACATATGAAGCTGAAAAGATTTCGATTTTAGTAGACTTATTTTATATAAATATATATATACAAGACCATATATATATGGTCAAGACTCTATATATAAGGTTAAAGAGCTCTAATATAAGGTTAAAGTATTTTAAATAACTACAGTTATAATAATTTGTTAATGGATACACAACATAAACAGGTGTAAATCATGATATAAAAGGTAGGCTTTTGTATGTGGCTGAAGTTAAGTTGTTACCAACCTAAAATAGACTGTTATATCTATAAGATGTTTTCTGTAAGCTTCATAGTAGCACTAAAGCAAAACCAACAGTGGATACAGAAAAGATGAAAAGGGAATCAAGACATACTACTGTGGAAAATCATTAATTCACAATGGAAGACAGTAAGAGAGGAGAATGAAACAAAAGAACTACAAAACAGCTGGAAACAGCTAATAAGATGGCAAAGTTAGTTATTATCTATCAAAAATTACTTTAAAAAGTAAAAGTCAAAAGGCTTTGAGGGGCTGGACAGATTTTTTTTAAAAAAAGAAAGCCAAACTATGTGCTGCCTATAAGAGATTCCCTTCAGTTTTAAGGACATAGGCTTAAAATGAAGGGATGGAAAAAAATATTCCATGCATATAGAAACCAAAGGAGAACAGAGGCCCTATCAGACAAAACAGATGTTACGTAAAAACTGTCATGCATCAGACCATGTAGGATTTACCCTTGGGATGCAGGGATGGAACAAAAGCCAGTCAGTCAATGTGATATACCGCATTAATAGAATGACAATAAAAAATCATACAAACATCTCAATAGATGCAAACAAAGCATTTGAAAAATATAGTACCCTTTCATGATAAAAAAAACTCTCAACAAAGCAGGTATAGCAGGAACCTACCTCAACATAATAAAGGCCACTAATAACAAGGCCTTACCTCATATCCTGCTCGATGGTCAAAGGCTTACAGCATTTCCCTAAGATCAGGAACCCACTCGTGCAATTTCTGTTCAGCATAGTATTGGGAATCTTTCCAGAGTAGTTAGGTGGGATTTTTTTTTTTAAAGGGATCTAAATCAGAAAGGAAGATGTAAAGCTGTCTCTGTTTGCAGACGACATGGTCATCTATAGAGAGAGAAAACCTTAAAGTCTAGACCAAAACTCTGTTAGAACTAATAAACAAATTCAGTAAAGTTGCCATATATAAAATACTGTTGCATTTCTGTACACGAACAATAAGGTACCTGAAAATATATATACAATAAACAATTCAACTTACAATAGCATCAAAAACAATAAAACACTTGGGAATAAATTTAACCACGGAGGCGAAAAATCTGTACGCTGAAAACCGTAAGACATTGATGGAAGAAATTTAAGAAGACACACACAAAAAAGGAAAGATATTTTGTGTTGATGAATCAGAAGAACTAATATTGTTAAAATGTCCATACTACCCTAAGCCATCTACTCCTCCAATTCAGTCCCTATCGAAATGCCAATCACGTTTCTCTTTTTTCTTTTCTTTTTTTTTTTACAAGGGGAGGGCGCGGACGCAGGCCCCCCCCACCACAAAGCACGCAGTCGAGGTTCCCGCACCAGCGTGCAGTGCACAAGCCGCGCCCTGGGAAAGCCACCCTCCTGATCACGGCAGCCCCCCTGCCAGGCGAGTAGGGCTTTTTCACAGAAATAGAAAAACAATCCTAAAGTTTGCATGGAACCACGAAAGACTTCAATTGCCAAGTCAATACTGACTAAAAAGAATAAAGCTGGAGACATCACACTTTCTAATTTCAAACCATATCACAAATATATAGTACTCAGAAGAGTGTGGTATGGCATAAAAATAGACGCACAGACCAGGGCGACGGAATCACAGCGCAGAGATAAACCCCTTCATGGACAGTCACCTGGGGCAGTCCCGTCAGGCAAGGGTGCTGGGAAACAGATAACTACATACAGAAAATGAAACTGGACCCCTATCTACACCACTCACAAAAACAAGCTGAAATGGATTCAAGACTTAAAAGTAAGGTCTGAAACCATGAAACTCCTAGAAGAAAACACAATGGTCTTGGCAGTGACTTCCTCGATGTGATACCAAAACCACGAGCGACAGGAGCCAAAATTAGTAAGTGGGATTCTATCAAACTTAGAACCTTGCACACAGCAAAAGAAACAATTAACGAAATAGAAAAGCAGTCTACAGAATGAGAGAAAATATTGGCAAATCATCTATCAGGTAAGGGGTTAATATCCCAAATATATAAAGAACTCATGTAATTCAATAACAATACCACAGAAACCCAAACAGTTCAGTTTAAAAAATGGGCAGAGGAACTGAACGTTCTGCCAGAGATGACATATGGGTGGCCAACAGGCGCACGAAGAGGGGTTTCACATCCCTAGCCATCGGGGAAATGCCGATCAAAACCACGGGAGCTATCACCTCACACTTGTTGGAATAGCTGTCACCAAAAAGGCAAGACAGAACAGGTATTGGCAGGAATGTGGAGAAAAGGACACCCTTGGCCCTGTTGGTGGGGATGCAAATTGGTGCAGCCACGATGGCAGACAAGGAGGATAGAGGTTCCACAAAAAATTTAGAAAAGAAGTGCGACATGATCCAGCCATCCCACTCCTGGGAACGGCCAAGACATGGAAGCAACCTAGCTGTTCATCAGCACGTGAGTGGATAGAGAAGTTGTGGTGCGTATACACAATGGAATAGTATTCAGCCACAAGCAAGAAGGAAACCCTGCCGTTCGTAATGACGTGGATCTTGAGGGCACTGTGTTACGTGAAAGAAGTCAGCCTGAGAGAGGGAAATGGTGCATGATATCACTTGTATGTGGAGTGTAAAGAACATGAAATAAAGTGGAATTGTGGCTTCCAGGGGCAGGGGGTAGGAGAAATGGGGAGATATGGGTCAAAGGGCATAAACGTCTGGTTAAAAGATAAATTCTGGAGATCTAATATACAGAAGGTGACTGTAGCTACTAATACTGTATATGTACTTAAAAGTTGCTAAGAGCCCTGGCTGGTGTGGCTCAATGGATTGAATGCCAGTCTGCAAACCAAAGGGTCGCTGGATCGATTCCCAGTCACGGCACGTGCCTGAATTGCAGGCCAGGTCCCCAGCAGGGAGCACTCAAGAGACAGCCACATGTTAATGTTTCTCTCTCTGTCTCTTTCTCCCTCCCTTCTCCTCTCTCTCTAAAAATAAAAAGATAAACTCCTTTTTTAAAAAGTTGTTATGAGAGTAGATCTTAAATACATTCACCACAAAAAAGAAATGGCAATTACGTGACTTGATAAAGATGTTAGCTAAAATAAGTAAGTGTATCAAAGGAAAACATTGCACACTTTAAACTTACACAGCGTTACATGTCAATTATATCTAAATAAAGCTGAAAAAATAAAATAAGCTTGGGAACTGTTAAAAACCCATGTATACTCTGGAAATACCTATGAATATATATGGCAAAGCCATGAAGAAAACAGGGGCGGATGAATGTGAAGTCCAGAGTCGGTTCCCCCAGCAGCGAAGCTTAGGGTTGCAGAACCATTATAACGTTCACTACCGAAGCTGCAAGGGCATCACGCAAGGGCGGGAGGGCGCCCCTGGCTTCACGAGTACTCATTTATTAGGTATACTTTTTGCGTGTCTGATACATCGCAAGAAAAATCTTTCTAATAAGCTTACAGAACAATCAGACAGAAACATGGAGAGTGGCACTGGATTTATTAGTCACGAGGTCATTCCCATCCAGGCCTGTGTCCTTGGGCAGAACACCGATGGCCCCAGGTGCTACTGGTCCTCAGAATGGGGCGGCCCGCCCGCCCCCGAGCCCCTCTGAGGCCTGTTCACCCAGAGGACAGCCCCGAGCATGCTCAGGAACAGGGGCAGCTTCAGGAAGACCAGGAGCAGGAAGTGGACGCTGCTGAGCAGGGACCTGCAGGGGACACAGTGACACCCAGTGAGCCACACCTTCAGGGGAAGGCCCTGGTGCCCTCCACGTTCCCCCTGTCCCTCAGCCCAGGTCCTGAGGCCACAACGGTCCCTGTAAAGAACAACTGTGGACGACAAGGCAGCCCCACTCGAAGAACCACTGCCCCTCCCCGCCCCCCGCCTCTCTGGCCAGAAGCTGCCCTTAGAATTGGCCTGTGGACGCAGGGAAGGGCTGCCATTCGACCCAGGGATTCAGGTGGGCCCTGGGCCCAGGGGAAAGGCCTGTCCTCGGCCCTCCGCCTTGCAGGTCGCCCCGCCTGAGGTACAGGAATCAATAGCCTGGGCAGTGCCTGGGTAGCTCTCTTCCATAGCCCGCGTGACCCGCAAGGTAGAGACTGTTCTGGTTTCTTCATAGCAGGTAACCGGCGCCGGGCCAGTGTCACCAAGTGGTTCGCACTAAGAACCGTTTAGTGACCGCCGATGGAAGGAGGAAACAACCTTGCTCAGCTCCAACCTCCTTCAGAGGCCTGTGTTCTTCAACGGGGCAACACCGTGACCGGGGCCTGGGGAGGCCCCCAGCCCCAGAGCTTCTGCTCCCCACGCTGGCCCGGGCCTGGGCCCCAGAGGCTCCTCTGCAGGACCTTGTTCTAGCTCCTCCCTCTGCCTGGAGTCCTGCTTCTGCGGACGCCCGAGTGCCCGCCCCCCAAGCCTTGCAGGTGTCTGTCGAAGGGCCTCGGATCAGCGAGGCCTCCCTGGCCACCAGGCAGTAAGTAGCAAACCTTGGCTCTGCCCAGGTGCCGCCGTTTCTCCGAGCCTTCCCCATGAACGGGCACACGGTCGTATTAACGTATGTGGATGTGCTTCTTGTTGAATCCACCCCTTAGAACTCAACGTCTGTCAGAGCACAACGCTGTCAGGGGGTTCACGCCGCGTCCCTAAGCTGAGAAGAGTGCTTAGGGCACGCAGTAGGAGCTTCATAATTAGGTGTGAGATTGATGAATGAAAGAGGGGCCTGGAAAGGAAATAAAACCCCCCTCCATAACCTCCCTCCTACTCCCATCCAGAGTCAAAATCCCAGGAGGCAGGCCCCTTACCGGGGGCGTTGGCGGGGATCGGGGGTCTCTGGCCTGGCTGTACTGGGTAAGGCGGTCACTGGCAGGGAGAAGGGCGGGCCCAGGGTGCTCGTGGAGATCTTCTGCGTAGGCGCGGGGGCTAAGGGGGAAGCATACGTGAGGTCCTGTGCCCTCCCCCGGGCCTCCTGCTCTTTCAGCTGTGTGGTGCTGGCTCAACCAGTCAAGACCACTCAGGCCTTCGGGACAGATATGCTGTGTCCACCATCCCCTTGTGGCCACAGCCAGGCCAGAACCACCCTGGGCCCCCTCCCCAGTCCCCTCTCCGGGGGCCCTGTGGCCTGGTGGGCACGTTCAGATGCAGAGTCATCCTGCCCAGCAGAGGACTTGAGAGCCTGTGGGAAGAGCGCTCAGCTCCAGGTCACGCCCCAGCCACGCCTGTCTCCTCCTTGTCCATCCCGCAGGGGACAGGGTGGCATTCACCCTGTAACAACTGACCAGAGCCACGGTGGCGGGGGCCCGCAGGCAGGGCTGACGGCTCGAGTGAGACGCACAGGAAACAGGCACGTGCAGCGGGGTCCGCCCTGAATGACAGGACCCCACAGCCCCTTAGGAGAGGTGAGGGTCTGAACATTTGTGTCCCCCAGATTCTTTTGTGGAGAACCTGGTGCCCGGTGGGATGGGATAAGGCGGTAAAGCCCCAGAAGGTGTCCGGGTCATGAGGGTGGAGCCCTCATGGACAGGATTAGCGCCCTGGTAAGAGAGGCCCCTCCACCATGTGCGGACACAGCAAGTCTGCAGCCTGGGGAAGGGCCCTCACCCCTAGGCCGGCCCCCTGAGCTCGGGCTCCCAGCCTCAGGAACGGTGAGCGATACATTGCTGCTGTCCATGAGCTACCAGTCCCTGGTATTTTGCTATAACAGTGGGCTAACAATGTGCGCTCAGTGCCCCAAACCGTCAGCCAGGCCTATGGCCCCAGGCAGCCACGGAACCGTCCACTCTGGACGAGGACAGGAGCAGAAAGAAAAATCTGGAGAGACACAGCGAGTGGCCCCTCAGAACGTGGCCCATCCCAGAGGAACTGGACAAACTCCTTCCCCTGACACACCCAGAGGTCTCAGGGGGCTTTCAGTTCCTCTCTCTGAAATAGAGACACACAGGGGCACCAGAGGAAGCCTCCCATCTGAGAACGAGAAGCTAAGAACTGCAGGAAGGAAGTGGGAGGAGCCAGAGACAGCATCAGAAGAAGAACGCAAGGGAAAATCTACGCTCCTCTAGATAGATGGTCTTAATTTGGAAACAAGAGCAGCGTTCTGGTAAAGAATTGTTGGGAGAACACGGAGAAAGTTTGGGGCCATAACACATAAGAAACCACGTTATCCTCTTTCTTCTCCTTTGTCTTAGGAAGGTATTTTCAAGGGTTTCTCTGGGCTCCTTCCAGAGGACGCAAGGTCTCAGAAAAAGAGGGAGAGAAACAGGGTCAGCCTGAAGGGGCAGGGTGGTCCCCAAAGCATCCCAGGGGCTGGGGGCTTCTCCTGGGCCCTCTCATGGCTGCTGCAGACCCCCGGGCCCAGGGCCGTGAGCCTGGTGCCCGGAAGCCACCCACGGTGACGTTCTCCCATGGACCAGGTCCAGGGCGGCCGTAGTGAGAGGAGAATGTGTCCCAGCCCTGCCGTTCCCACAGGGAGGACCGAGAGAGGTGCAGGGAGAGACATGGGGTCCCCGTCAGAGTGGACACGGCTCTTGTGCGGACAGGAGGGCAGCGTGTCCCCAGAGTCCGGGCCATTCCCAGCCTGGCCCACCCAGGAGAGACCCAGGGGGGACTGTGTCAGGGCGTGGCGCTCAGAGGGGTCTAGAAGAGCCAGAGGTGTGCTTGTATGTGTGCGCACGTGCACGCAGACAACACAACACACACGCACACTGCGTCCTGATCACTGCCCACCCCCAGCTCACCCAGCCCTTCACTCCACGTCTGTCCTGACAGACAGGGTGACCAGGTACATACAGACCAGGCAGCCTGGAGCTGGGACCAGGCGAGGGTGCTGCAGTTCACCTGGGGACACAGTCACCACAACCCCGAAGGTGGGGTCCACAAAGTGTTTGGAAGACTGATGTGTCGATCCCACACCAGTATGTGTCCGCATCATCCTTTTTGAGGTTCTTCAAGGTCACTGTGAAGGTGAGGTTTGCTGGATCGTCCCTGATGGACACGCGGCCCCTCCTCACTTCTCTCTCTGCCTCCGTGGTCTCCACAATCTTGCCCCTCCTCAGTATGAAACATGGGTTTCTGCACCAGTATTTCTTATTTTCCGCGAACTCCTCCTGGTACCGACACTGCACGCTCAGGGTTCCCCCCACGGTGCCCGTCACGTGGCGGGGGCCGCTCAGGGACAAACAGCCTGGAAGACACAGCCCAGCCCCAGCCCCTCACCAGATGGGCCAGGGTTGGGACGCCCTGGGGTGCAGGTCCCTCAAGGGCCCCAGGGTTTGGAGTCCATGGCAGGGGATAGGCCTTTCCTCACACCAGGAGAGGGGCGAAGGGGATGTAGCTCCCTCCTCCCAGAGGCAACCCAGGGAGAGGGCGTCCTTGGAGACAAGGGGGCCGTGGTGGGAAGAAACTGAGCGTGTGCAAGTGCATGTATGTGTGCACCCATGTGAGTGTGTGTGTGATGTACCAAGGCCACCTCTCTGACTATGACAATTAAGGTGACGATCACAGGCCCTCTCTCACCAGTGCTACTCTGTCCCCCGCAGTGAAGGGGACTCGCCTGCTTTATGCACTGAATCCTTGGGCTGCTGCCGAGGCAGGTGCTGGCCGCTCCTGGAAGCTTCCCGGCCTCCCCTTCCTCCCTCCGCTGTCCTCCCTCCTTCCTGTTGAGCTGCTCCCCACCCACCACCACCCCGGTCCTTCCTCCGTCCCACTCAGGGTCCGAGCTCCCTGCCCGGGCCCAGCCCCGCTCACCTGGGGCCTGGAGAAGGAACAGAGTGGAAGGCAGCCACGTGGCCCAGTCCCACCAGGCCATTTCTCTGGCATGGACACAACCTATGGCAGCACCAGGCCCTCCATGTAGACAAAGGCCAGCCTCCCACAGAGAGCTCAACTTCCCAGTGTCTGCTTCTGCTTTTCTGGGCCTCTCTGCTTCCTTGTCCAGCCTGGGTTGGGTCCGAGGCTAGAGCTGGTCAGGGGGCAGGGAGCTTAGGGCTAGAAGCTGCAGACTGGCGGTGCCCTCGGCCTCCCCCAGGCCCGATGGCTGAGCAGGGCCCGTGTCCCGCAGCGAGGCGCAGCCCCCCTCAGAGCACACAGCTGCTCCTCCCTTGGCCACACACGGCTCCCCACGGCAGAGCCAAGCTGGGACATTTCCTCCTTGACCAGGTGTCCTCACTCTCTGTGATATGTCGCTTCCTTCTGGCCAGGATAGAGTCCTGTGGAGGAAGGCCGGATCTTTCCATCGCCTCTGGCCTTGGTGGTGACACAGAGGAGTATGACCCCCCCAGCCGGTGGCTCCGGGTACCAGGGAGAGCTCTCACCCCGTGGGACGCCTCACTCTTCCCACACAGGCTGGCACCACGACCCCAGGGGCCTCCCAAGGCGCCCCCTGGCCCTGGGGTCCCATCCAGTCCCGCGCCTTCCCTCCCACATTTCCCTGTTGTGCACGCGCAGGTGTGGAGCGTCTGTCACCCTTTTACTTGCTCTTCCTCTGAAGGCCGACTCCACTGTGAGACTCAGGACAGAGGCCCGCGGGTGGCCCAGGAGGGCCTGGCACCCCGGGGACCCTGCGGAGCCGACACCGAGCCTTGCCTCTGCATCCATGGCACACGGAGGCCAGTCTGCCCGGAGGCCCTCGCCGCTGGTGCCCCTCGGGGGTTCACAGCTGCCTCTCCAGGGTGTAGAGCCGGGACAGGCGGAGGCGGGTCTGTCCTAGCCCAGGCCGGCTTGTTCTCATGATGTGATGGCTTCAGGACCGACTTGCCCCGGAAATGGCAGGGAGGCAGGTCACGGGGCGGGGCCTGCTCTAGCGTCTCTCCTGGCCACGCTGGTTCTCAGCCTCATGCCGCACGATCCGGGTCTACTCACTTCCCTCGGAAAACTCTCCTCACAGGCAAGGCACAAACGGCCCCTGGGGTGGCTGCCACCCCAGTCCTGCCACATGGGGTCCTCCTCTCCTCACTCCCCATCAGTTCTTCCTCGAACACGCTCCAAGCTGCCCTTTCCTCTCCTTTTCCTCGGACACGCAAGCGTCCTCTGTCCTCTCAACACTGCAGTGACATCCCTCTTACCCTAATGTCCCCAGTGCCCTTTCCCTCGCTTCTCTACCCATCACCAAGGGTCAACAGAGGTCAACAGCAGTCAAAAACACTGCTTGCCACACGCAGCGAGACCTCCTCTCCTTGCTTGGCCTCCACAGCCCGCGTGGACCCAACGGGGGTCTCACTCCGCCTGACCAAAGTGGCCCTATGTTTTAGTCACAGTGCCCATCCCTTCGCAAGCCTTGGCACCCGCTTTTCAGTCTCCCTGGGTCCTTCCCCCAAGTCCTCTCACTGCTTGTGCCTTCTTCCCCTTTAGAGTCCACTTGGATGTCACCTCCTTAGAAAGGCTTCCCCGATCACCCTTCCAAGGGATCACTCTGCTTGCCAGTGACCCCTGTTTATTTCCTCCACAGTCCGCCAAACATGGCTATAAGTTTCCTTTTGGTGGTTTCTACCCATCTCCCCCACGAGGACATAGCTTATGTCATAGCGATATTTGTCCCTGAATGGAATGACTCAGTGCCCAACTATAGTATGTGACAAATGGTTGGCTAATGATAAATATCTGCTACATGTGGCTTAGGAACGAGTGATTGTGTGAATGATTAAGGATTGAATTGGCTGCAGAGACTGGCCATAGGCAAGTGTGGTCCCGCTACATTAGATACTATCTATCTGCACAACAAATTCCCTCAAACTTAGCGGCTGAAAACATCCGTTATGGTATCCTTCCTGAGAGTCAAATACCTGAGTGCTCATCTGCGTAGGTCTGGCTCAGGGTGTCTCTGTCGCAGAGCTGTAGCCACCATGTCGGCCGGGGCTGCCCTCCTCTAAGGCTGGACTGGGCCTGTAGGGCCTGTTTCCAAGATGGCGCCTCCCCATGGCCGCTGACAAGAGGCCTCAGCTCCTCGCTCAATAGAGCTGATGGAGTGCCCTGGCCAGTGTGGTTCGGTTGGTTGGAGTGTCGTCCCATACACCATAACATTGTGGGTTTAATTCCCAGTCAGGGCACATGCCTAGGTTGCAGATTTGAACCCTAGAAGGCAACCAATTGGTGCTCCTCTCTCACATCAATGCACGCCTCTCTCTTTCTCTCTCTTCCTTGGGTAACAGAAAAAAAAAATAGAGCTGACTGAGTGGCTTCGTGACTTGGCAACTAGCTTCTTCCAGAGTGACAGATCCAAGAGAGAGCAAGGCACAGTATATTTTATGACCTATCCCTGGAAGCCCTATGTCGTTGCTTCTGCCATATCTACGGATCCCAGAGGCCCACCGTGATGCAATGTGGAAGGGACCCACACAAGGGTGGACTATCTGATCTGGGTGGTGGCTACGGAAGGACAGTCACTTTCTAAAACTCCAGTGTGTGTGTGCATGTGTGTGTGTGTCTATCATGCTCTCTTCCTTCCAGCTACCTCGCTGACAGATCAGAGAGCAAACAAACTGACCAGGAGCATGTTATAAGTGATGGCATCAGGATCTGAACCCAGAAACCTCTGGCATGACTGCTCAAGTGTCTTTACACCACACCGTGACTCTGCAGGGGAGAGAGTGGCCAATGGAACACGATCATCAGACCAGGAAGCGGAACGAGAGGGCTGGTTAGGCAGCTGGTGCCATGGTAGCCCAAACTGAGAAACTTCACAGGGAGCCAGTGTTCGCTAAGCCCTCTCCGCCCTCCACACTCTCTCCCTTCTTTCTTGCGCCCTTTCCTTTCGGAAAGGAAGTGCAACTTCCTTTTCCAAAAACATTTTCTTGAGTGAAACACAGTTTCTGCCAGCTCTTGGCTGTGCCAGGAGGTTGGAAGTTCCCACAGCTGAACAGGGCAAAAGCAGCAGCCACTCGGGATAGGCATTTGACTCTAGGTTCGAGCATGTGTTGTGATGGTTAACTTCATGTGTCAACTTGACTGGCCTTGGTGCCCAGATTAAGCCTTTTCTGGGGGTGTGTCTCTGTGAGTGCTTCTGGATGACGTTACCCTTTCAATCAGCGGACTCAGTAAAGTAGTTACCCTGCCCCATGTGGGTGGGCATCATCCAATCGCTGAAGGCCTGAACAGAATGAGGGGCAGAGGAAGGAGGAATTCACCCCTTCCTGCCTGACTGCTTCAGCTGGGGCATGGACCTTTTCCTGCTCTTGGTGCTCCTGGTTGCAAACCATCCAACTTGGACTGAATTACACAGCCAGCTCTCCTAGGTTTCCAGCTTGTGGACAGCGGATGATGGAACCCCTCAAACTCCAGAAGTTATAAGGGACTGGCTCGTTGTGTGTGTATACATATATCTCCCACTGGTTCTGTTTCTCTAGAGAACCCTAATACTCGTGTGCACTTGACTCTGTGGGAATTTACGTCTGCACATCTCAAGCTTGCACATGAGGACTTAACTCAGGAAGATCCATGTGAGGACTCAACACAGAAACGCCCCAAACCTCACTGGTTCGGACTTCTCGCCCACACACATTTCCCGGAGTTGATAAACATTTGTAGTTCCAGAGGCTCCCATAGAAAAACACAGAGTGGATAGTCTGAGAAGTCCGTACGCTAGGCATTAAATAGCATAGCAGCCATCCAGAGTGAAGTGGGCCCCTCCTTTTCAAGGGACAAGATAATTAAGCAAAGATACAGTTATAGCCAAATGGCATTGCCCATCCTTGGCCTAGAATCAGAAGTATCCGCTTTATTTCTCTCTGGTTTTCAGGGTCCCTGCGAGGTCCAGAGAGGCCTGGGCCACTTTTATTTTTGTTTTATTTATTTTTTGACAGTGACTTATTTATTAATTACTTATAAGGTATTTTTTTCTTTTTTCTTTTTAAATTACAGTTGACATACAATATTATATTAGTTTCAGGTGTACAAGATAGTGACTAGACATTGAAAAACCTTACAAAGTGATCGCTCCGATGAGTCCAGTACCTGCCTGACACCATACACAGAATTCACTTCTACTTTTGACGCTCTCAGAATCTTGAAAAAAGAAAGATGTCAAAATAGGGTTACAAGAACGGTGGTATACTTTAAATGTATAAAGTTCACAAATCAGCTTTTTGATATCACAAATGCCCATAAAGAAGAATTAGTCAGGCCCTGGCTGGCGTGGCTCAGTGGATTGAGCGCCGGCCTGCGAACCAAAGAGTCGCCGGTGTGATTCCCCGTCAGGGCGCAGGCCTGGGTTGCGGGCCAGGTCCCCAGCAGGGGGCGCGTGAGAGGCAACCACACGGTGTTTCTCTCCCTCTTTGTCTCCCTCCCTTTCCCTCTCTCTAAAAATAATAATAATAATAATAATAATATAATTAATCAGATAAAGAAAAGACGACTATTGCTTTAAGAATCTAACCTACTGCTGGTTTGGTAGGAATAAGAAATAAAACACACGTGTAAACACACAGCGTAGACATTTCTGCCAGGGCAGCCCTGTGGTGGTACACGCGATGTGATGCAGGGATATGGTAAAGACCGATTCTGAGGCTGTTCACGGGGTGCCAGGCCAGGGCCAAACTGCAGACTCTGCTGCGAGACGGACCCCACCACCCCTCCCGCTTGCTGCCCGTCTCTCTTTGCCCCTGCACCTCTGTCTCCTTGTCCTCACCCCCACGGCTGAGGGCCTTTCCTGGCACTGGTCATAGTTGGTCTTTCAGAGACAAGTTCCCTTGTTTGTGGGGACGAAGAAGCATCGACACTTCGTCCCGCGCGGGCTGAACAGGTTCGCCGAGGGCATAGGGTCTCCCTACCTCTCCCGGGGGGTAGGAAACCGAGATCCATGTGGGTGCCGCTACTCAATGAACCTGAAGCCTTGGACTGGAATCAAGTGTGTCTTTGTCTTCTGTGCCTGGTTGGATTCCTGCCCCTGGGTTCAGTCTTTAGGGCCTCGGTCTACTTGAGGGTGAACTGCCCACTGAGCTCCAGACCCCTGGGTGTACCTTGATCCCTGGCCCCCGGCCCCCGAATGCCTGAGTCTACACCTTGTTGATCCGAAGGGAGACAGGTGATCCCTATTCAGACAGCCCAGGCTGATGAGCAGCATGGGGTTGGGGAAGTGGGCTCAGCCAGGAGGAAAGGCCAGCAGGATTCAACAGGTCTAGTTCTAATATTTGCGGTGGCTGAGGTCAGGGTATTGGAATAAGCCAGGAGGAACCCAGCAGCTGAGAAACAACTCTGTTGGAGCAGAATTAGAAGTCCTTCAAGGTGTCCCCGTTGAAGCTCTGCAAATAGACACTTGCGCCACCTATTGGTGGCTTTAAGAAGGTCACGGGCGTACTCTGGTTTGTACTTTGTTCTTTCTTCCCAGTGAGGCTGGGAAGCAGAAATGCTCCTGTACTTGAGCCTCATGCTATGAGTATGTCACTGACCCCTCCAGCTCCCCCCAGACAGAGGGCTAGGCCTCGAGGAAAGGCTCCAGCACCTTGGGAAAAAGATCGTTGGCCTTGAGTGAGATGGATTTGAGCTCAGGTTTGGACTTCCTTGCAAATACTAAAATCACAGAAAGAGAAATAAGGCAAGTCCTCTAAAGACCGATCACCCAAGGAGGAGACCTGAGAATGCTGGATGCAGAGATTCAGGGGCCCTGGGGCCTGCAGGAGGTGAGGCCCTCCAAAGCCCAGCTGCCTTGGCTGAGTGAGAAGCTTTGACTGCTAACAGTCCAGCGAGGACGTCTCAGACTTTGCTTCCTGGTTCTGGAGCTGGTGCAATGCTGAACCTGCAGGTAATTTTAGGGGACCTGGGTATGGAATTGAGAAGGTCTCCCTCCGCCCCACTCTGCATGCTAAGCGCCTGGGCCAGATCCCACAGCAGCAAGCCTTCCAACGGACATGTGGCTTGGGCATGGGAGAAGGGTCCCAATGAGGTGAATTGCCTCCCTACCCAAGCTTCCATCTCCGTGGACTTGCCCTGTGGCCACATCCCAGACCCATGATTGCATCATCAGGATTGATATTCCTAAGAGCCCGCAGAACCCCCACATTGGCCTGATACCCTACGGAGTGAAAGCTGTAACGGTAGAGGAGTTCTGCAACGGTGCTCCTCTCCATCAACACAGTGAGTTACAAGCAATGACGTGTTCTGAGTGCCGCGGTGGCAGAGATCAGTGCCACACTCCAAGATCTCAGGAGGCAGGCGTGGTGAGCGCCCTCCTATCCCTACAATGAATGCCTATTCGCTATTTCTACACATTACTACGAGTCATTAGTCTCCTAGTCATCTCCGTGAGTCCTGTGGGTTTTTTAAGTTTATATTTTTTGATGCTTTAACATCTCGGGGCCTTGTGGGCCCGGGGAGGAACTGCCTCCCCGAGGTTAGCTAATTTCTCAAGGGAGTAAGGCTGGCCTGCAAGCCTGCCTTAGGCAAACCAGCCAGGCCCAGATCCTGAGCCCCCTGATGTGCGTTTGTCAGGCTCCAGCGGCCTGGGACACTGTGCCTCTGCGCTCAGTCACCCCGGGGCCCATCTCTAAGAACTAGGAACCACTCCTACAGCCCAGGGCCTGCCCAGATTATTCAAACTCTTCAGTCCTAAACCTGCTTGGTTTCTTTACCCTGGCTTTTCCCCTTCCTTCCCCCAAAAGCCACAGGAAGTTCCCCGCCTTCAGTTACTCTCTCTCCTTCTGCCCCCTGCCTGACCCTGGGGCTGCCTGAGCTTCCTCGCACAGCTGGTGCGGTGAGATTTATGGGCATAAACTTCTTCTTCCATAACAGTCGTTCCCACGTTTGCATCTCTCACAGCGCCCTTTGAAAACAAACTCTGGATAGATTTTAAAACACCTACTTAATTCACTAACCCAATTCTTGACAAACTCAGATGTGTCCTGTCACGTCACAATGGACCACCTTCAACTTGACCAACTGATAGCCCAGCTGCGATTGTTTTTCTTACGTACTGTCCTTACGAGATCTGCCTCTGGCGCCTGGTGCGCTGCTATCCGTGTGGCTGATGCATTCTTTTCAATCCCTGTGAAGAAGGATGGTCAGGAGCAGTTCACATTTACTTGGGAAGAGAACAACACACTCATTGTGAACCCTGGGACCATGCAATTCTTCCGTTCTGTCACAATGCAGGGAGAGGGGACTTTGATTACACACTCTGGGGAACATCACACTTGTTCACTTCATTGATAGTCGGAAGAGCAGGGAGAAGCCAGCACCCCAGTCGCCCTGGTAGGACTCATCTGCCCCAGGAGTAAAGAGAAACCCTACAGAGCTTCAGGGGTCTGCCTTAGACCCCATTTTTAGGAGGCCACAGTGGGGAATGAGTTCTCTTGTCTTGTGTCTCAAACCTCTAAGGAAAAGCACACTGTTCATGTACATTATTAACATGCTTTTGCATAGGTGTCATATCTCATTAAAATCTTTTTAGTGTTTGTTTTTAAAGTCTCTGGTAATAAGCTGAAAAGGGATGTAAGGTTCAGGGTCGGAGGTTCTGTCTTCTCTAGGTTGAGTGGCAGTGTCTCTGGACAGGACATCGCTAGGCAAGGACGGCTGTGGGTTGCCTTCGTCAGACTATGCTTGCCCATAAATTGCCCGCTGAGGCCTGTTCACCCAGAGGACGGCACTGAGCATGCTCAGAAACAGGGGCACCTTCAGGAATATGAGAAGCAGGAAGTGGACGCTGCTGAGTAGGGACCTGTGAGAGGAACACAGTGACCAGCAGTGAGTTTCCTCCTCACCTGGAAGCCCAGGCTCCGCCTCCCTCGCCACCCACCTCCTTTGAGTTCAGGTCCTGTGGCCTCAAAGCTCAGTGTCAGCATTGAATTTGGTGGCTACCAGACCCACACAGCCCCAGGCTGAGGACCACAGGCTCCTGCCCTCCGTTTGGTTCAGGAAAGGACTTTGAGTGCCAGGACACTGCAGATGCAGGAGAATGTGGGGGTGAGAAACGGACAGGAGGACAGATGCAGGGCCCCAGGCAGCCGTGGCTCGCACAGACAGCGTTCTGTGCCCCTGTATTGATCCTTCCGCCATCAGCATGCTCAGGAGCTCAGCTCTTGCTGCGACCAACTTTAGGGATGAACGTCCCCTTATAACCACTCCACACTCAGATTAAAGCCTTGGCTTGTCCTTGACTATAACCATGGGAGCAGATATTCTGCTTAAAGCATCCAACAACCTCTACCCCAAGGAGCGGCTTCCCTAGGCTCAGCTCTCGACCTGTCCCCTCAGCCTCCGGCCCCAGCACACGCCTCACCCCAGCCCGTCATGCACGCAGCGCACCCTGTGGGTATCCCGCCCATATCTTCTTTGCCCACTTGAGCTGCTGGTAGCTGTGCACAGCCTTGGACCCACCAGCGTTTCTCACCTCAAGCCCCTGCCACCCTGCCTGAGGGTCCTCCCCAGCGGTAGGGGCACGTGGGCTTGTGAGCGGAGCAGGCCAGAAGCGCTGCAGAGTTCAGACCCCGGGGTGACCCTCGGCCGGGAACCTTCCTGGTCCTCACTCTGCTTGGCCAGCTCTCCCACTTCCTTCAAGTCTCTGCTCAAGCATCACTATCTGAGGGGCCTTTGCTCATCACTTTGTATAAAAATAGGGAACTGGCCACCTTCCCCCTGCAGTGAGGCCAGAGGAGTGCGGATCAACCCCCCCTCCCCCCACTTCCTCATTGCCCGGGGGGCCGCTCTGCCCGATGTCCCACCAACCTCTGTGAGGGGTCCCGGGCGTGGGGCCCCGGGGCTGAGCCCAGTCACTCCAGGGGTAGCCTGTGCGTTAAGCTCCCCGCTCTCTCCCTAGACCCCCTGGGATCCCCTCTCTGTAGACTGAGCTCACCGCGAGCCCCGTCTCAGGACCTGACTTTGAGGTAATCTGGCTGTGACAGTCTCTTTGGTCTCGTTTCCCTCGAGCACCGCGGCGGCCGCCATCATGCCCCACCACCTCCCTCACACGCCGTCACCCCGTCCCTTAATGCCCGCCTGCTTGGTTTTCCTTCACAGCAAGTATCATTACCTGACATTTCCTCAGTCCGTTTACCTATCCCCTTTGTTATCTGTCATCTGTGTATCCGTTCTATCACATCTGTCTGTCTGGTCTGTCATCTATCTATGTTTCTATCTATCTATCCATTTGGTCATTGTCTGGATTTGAAGGAAACTCCCTGGAGAGCACAGCCTTGCCTGCTGGTTCGCTCTTGTACCCCTACCATTTGCATCGGTTTCTGCCACGTGGGAAGTAAATTCAGCATTAGCTGAGTGAGTGAATCATTGAGGAAACCTATGTGCAGGAAGCCCCACGCTGGGGTAGGAGCCATGCAGAGGGTGGAAGACACTGGGCCACATGCACCTTACCCTGGGTCTTGGCTCGGAGGTCCAGGTGTCCTTGAAGAGCTCTTGCTGCTGGAGGCTGCGGTGAAGGGCGAGGGTGAGGAACAGGGTCCAGTGCCCTGCCCGTGACTTTCCCCACCTAGGTACCTGTCACCTGCATGATCCTGACTTCAGAAAGCAGAGGGAAGGGCTGAACAGATGCTCTGAGGCCATCCTGTGGCCGCAGTCAGCCCAGGCCTGGCCGGAGTAGAGGGGCGCCCCATCCGGACCCATGCCGATATGCTCTCCAGCCAGGTGGACACTTTGTCAACCAGGACAGGAGATACGTCACCTTCTGCCTTTGAGCATTAACTGTTCCTCATCTCACTGAAAATAGGAGTGCTTGAAGGTCGGAACAAAAGTTAGACCTCAGGCTCCTCCCCTCAGCCAGTGCACCCTTATATCACGGCCCCCTCCTCACCTCCTGGCAGAAGGCTGTGAGGTTGACTCAGCGAAATCGGAGAGCAGGGACACCTCAAGAGCTGATGGCTGGAAAATGCTAGCAGCCCCAAAGAGGTGGAATCTGCACTCTGGAAAGTGGGACCCCCACCCCCTGAGCCCACCCAGCTCCTCGGACGTCGGCAGCCTCGCCTGTGCTCCCCCAGGCAGGAGCCTGGGGCATCCTCCCGGATCAGTGGCCAACTAGGTGGAAGAGCCTCCAGACTTGGACACTGAGGGACCCCAAGGGAAACAGCTGAATCTCTGGGCATGCACCTAAAGGGGGGCACCCCCCAAGCCCCCCAAGCCCCTCACTCACCACTGAGTTCACAACCAGCCTCTTGGGGCTGTGCTCTTACGTGCACATGGACAGAACCTTATGAGGAAAGCCTCCAACACAGAAGAGAGAAACGCACACAATGAGGAAAAAAATCTCAGAGGAAGCTGAGATGATGCAGGCAGCAGAAGAAAAAAAGTAACACCTTTAGACTGATAAGGGAAGGTATAGCGCTCAGGAAACAAGCTTGAAAGAAAGAGAAAGGAAGGAAGGTAGGAAGGCAGGTAGGAGGGAGGGAAGGGAGGAAGGAAAGAAGGAAGAAAGGAAGGAAGGTCTTATTAAAACATCAAGAAACAATTTGAACAGTAAAAGATTTTGGAGTTGCCCCATCTCTCTGCTGCCTTCCCAGGCCTGGGGTTTACTGATCTCTCTCCCGCTTAGTCAAGGGTGCCGGAAGGAGGAGGAGCAGAAGCGGGGGGCAGCATGGAGCTGGGGAGCCAGGGACGACGTGAGACAGAGAGTAGGCAGCGCCCTCCTGGACCTTCCCCAGGCCCTCACACAAACCCCGCTGAGCCGGAGCCCAGGGGCTGGGGTCAGGGCCTGCAGAAATGGGTTTTCTCCTGGGCCAGCCCAGTATCAGAGGCTGAGGAAAGGCCCAAAGGGGGCTCTAGAGAGGCCAGGGGAGGGTCAGGGGCTGCCCTCAGATTTCCAGAGCAGAGGTCACCGGTCAGAAGGAGGAGGCTGGCAGCCTGCGCCATCCCTGGCCCTGACTGCCTCGGGGCTCCTGAACCCTGGGTGAGGCCCTGGGCCCGGGGGTTGCCAAGAGCTCAATCCCAAGAGCCCAAGCCAAGGGCAAGGGAGAAGCGGACCCCTTTGGAGTAGATGTGCTGCCACACTTCCATATACACCCCCTCGCCCCGTGAGGACAGGGAGGGAGCGTGAGGCCCTCAGTCCTGATGGATCTGATGACACAGGCCCTCCCGCCTCCGCCCTCAGGCCCACAGACGTGGTCAGAGCCAGGGTGGTGGCAGGAAACTCGGGTGCCACACACGCCCTCATACATCTCCCGCACACTCACATCCACACAACGCACTTGGTTCCGAATCTCCGCTGCACGAACCCCAGGCCCAGCTCCTCTCCCTGGAGTCGAAATTCCCTGGGATGCCCTGCAGAGATTAGCTCAGATTCCTTCGTCGCTGCTACCAAAAGGAAGGAGGGTCTTACCTGGGGAAACAAACACTTGAACCTGGGAAAAGGGTTCAGGCAAGAGGCCAGAAAGCCCTTCTTCCACCAGCATCGTGGAAATCCCACACCGGTATTTTCCTGCATCATTTGCAGTGAGGTTCTCCAAGGTCACTGTGAAGGTGAGGTTTCCAGGATGGTCCGTGATGGACACTCGGCCCCTCCTCACCTCTCCCTCAGAGGCGCTGGTCTCCACGGTCTCAGAGAAGAACGGCAAGCATGGTTGTCTGCACCAGTATTTGGCAAATGGCTTATATCCCTCCTGGTACCGGCACTGCACGCTCAGGGATCCGCCCACGGTGCCTGTCACTGTGCTGGGGCCGTGCAGAGACAAAGAGCCTGGAAGACACGATTAGTCTTGTCTTTATCCTGAAGAGCCTGGGCCAGAGGGGCCTTTGGTGTCAGGTCTCCCGGGAGTCACCCTGAGGCCGGAGGAAGGAGGAGCCAGGAAGCAGCGAGGCAAGGCTGTTTGCAGACACCAGGAGGAGATCTAAGGAGACACCTGCTATGGGATTCAGAGCCTCACAAGGCCATGCCCAGCCTCTGTGTGCTCAGCCAACTCACAACGTGACCGGGAGAGGAAGACTGGGGGCCTGAGACAGGTTCTGGGTCCCCAGAAGTGCCCAACCTGAGACAAGACTTCTGTCCCCATTCATCACTAAGAATTGAATGAAGACACTAAATATCATCAGAATAAAGGGATGGGTGGATGGATGGATGGATGGATGGATGGATGGATGGATGGAAGGAGGGAGGGAGGGACTAGAAGATAGAAAATAAGAATGGGAACGAGGGAAAATTGGACAAAACCCAGTGTTGAGAACTAAGGGGACGCCTTCAGCTTCTGGCTGTGTCCCCGTCCCCAGTGCTCATCTGTGGACCCCAGTGTACAATCCCTGCTCACATAGGTAGACCTCCTGCTCATAGGTCTGGGCCGCACAGATGAGAGTTGGACAGAGTGTAAAGAGGCCGTTTAAGAAGGGGCTCTTCTTGGCCAGTATGAATGCGAGGACATTCATACTTCGATTTCCCTCCCAGAACAGAGGCCTGCAGCCACTTAATAGCTTTAGAGACTCCTGGCTCCGCAGGGATGGCCCACCTGCGGATGAGCAGTCCCTTCCATCCCCGACTCCTCCACAGCCCCACCAGCCTTGCCACGCCCGGATCTCGCCTTCAGGCCCTTCCCCACCTCTGAGACTTTGACGCTGCCCTTGCTGCTCTGGTCTCTCTAGAGGTGCCCCTCGAGGCAGGTTCCTTGGCCTCAGCGCCACTGCCTCCAAGGCAGGACTGCTCCGTATTGTGGGGCTGTCCTGTGCATTGTAGCATGTTTATGTAGCAGCATCCCTGGCCTTTACCCTCAGAAAGGAAGTCAACCTTGGGCTTCACATGCGCTCATGGTGGGGAAAACATTTTCTGTTTCCCCCTCGCCCTATCCCAGTGAGGAATTAGGGTACACTGGGGTTTTCCGGTGTGCGTCCCCCTCCCTTTTTGCTTATGTTTTTGATTCTTCCCTTTTGCCCACCCGCAGGCTTCCCGAGGCCCCGCCCAGCCACTCACCTGGGACACAGAGAAGCAGCAGAGCCCAGGGGAGCCACATGGCCCTGGGCCTCTCCGACTGCCGCCAGCCTGGGGCTGGAGGCGCCTGACCCAGATCCACACGCCCGGCCCTCTCCTCTGCTTTTCTCACTGCGCCTCTGCTTCCTCCTTCATCCCTTGCTTGTTTCTGCTGTCAGGATGGTTAGGAAATGTGAAAAGCTAGGGTTTCGCGTTATCATGTGGTCCGTGGAAAACAGAGCTGAAATTTCAAATTTGCAGTTCCCATTTCTCTTCCTGGACAAGGGCGTGCCCTTCCCACTTTCGGCCGCAGCTGGCGGGGCCTGATGTCCTTCTCCAAATCACAGCGGAGCCCCAGTCTGTCTGGGTTCATTGCTGTCTACGTTTCCCAAGCAGCTCCTTCCCCTTATGAAGAGCTAACTTCCTGTGCCCTGACTGGGCTTTATGTGGACCACCCCAGCTACTTTCAGGGCCCAGGGAAAATGGAAATGCTCTTGGGCCAGAATATGAAGAATTTGAAGACGGCGACAATGAGAGTTACGCCGAGTATTAGGGGACCTCCTGAGTGCAGAACCCACAGCACTTTGTGGGGTGGGCCCCCAGGAAGCCGGCCCTGTCTCTGGCGGGGACGCAACATGAGGCTGGGTCCACCCTTGGGGACCCTTTGCTCTTCTGAGCCCCCAGCTCTTGGTCTGCCTTCACCGGACCCCAGAAGCCTTGAATGGTCTCCCGTCTTGGTCACGTGCTCCTGACTAGTTTCCATTGCTCCTGCTTCAGGGAGACTTGACAAACCATCCTCAAGCCCCACCTTTAACTTTGTGTGGTTGAATAAGAAGCCAAGAGTCTCATGGGTAGAAATGTTTCCATGTACCGAAAGGTAACTCCCGTGTACTTGGCCAGAAATACAACCGGTCCCCTGAAGGAACCAAGGAGGATTTATAAAGGCTGACGTGAATTTGAAATGCTTTATCTAAGAATGTAAATTCGTTTAAGGAGAAAGCTCTGCGATTCTGGGATTCTGTTGTCTAACAGCTTCCCTTAGTTGGGTGTCTCAGTAAATAAACTTCCTCCTGGCTCATTTTTTTGCTGCATGAGGAGGCTTCATGTTTTCTGGGGATCTGTGTGTTCGTGTGTGTGTGCACACATGCACGCATGAGTGTGCACATCTCCCCATCCCATGAAGGGGTGGTTTCCTGCGCAAGGTCTCAAGCAAGGCGTGGCTTCAGCTGTCGCAGCCACTCTGCATCCCAGAAGACATGAAGGAAAATCCACATGTTCCCAGAAAAGACGGGGCATTCTGGGAATTTTATACCCAGGATTGTTGTTTTTGACAATGAACACTCTTATGCACACAAGAACATACAAAGTACAGAACCCATGAGCCCCTGGAAAATAAAAAACAACATCATGATGAAATTTTGCCAACAATGAAATAAATCAAATAATGGGAAAACCAGCTATCGTGAACAGTGAATATATTTAAAAATAGAAAAAAAGACTAAACTACCATGGGAAATATTTACAGAACAGAATATAATGCAAAAGTGCTACATACAACAAAATCGGTCCTGGGAAGACAAGTGGGGACAAAGGATAGGCACCGATGTCCTCATCTTGTACAGCACAGAGTCAACGGGTCGTTAAAATGTGCTGATTAAAAAGAAAGAAAGAAAGAAAAAGAAAAAAAAAGAAAGATGCTCATGGGGAGACTTGGGTCCCAAGCAAAGTGCGGAGGGTGTCCAAGTGAGGGCAGCTGGACATGGGTGTCAAGGCCCGAGCCGGGTGAGCGGGGTCCCCTGCAGAGGAGGCCCCCCGCGCCAAGTCCTACACTGCTGCTTCGGAACCGGGCTCAGGCTGTTTCACAGGCCTGGTCGACTGTCCCTTTGCTCTTAGTGGCCTCCCTTTTGGTCTTGAAGCTGCCAGAAGTTCAAGTTCAGGGAGGAACTTGAGAGGAAGAATTCATGCACCTTTTTGTCTCTGCGAAGCAGCTCTGTGGTGTCGCCATCCCTCCTCCACAGTGAACAGCCAGCAAAAGCTTACGTCCCACTGGGAGCAGCCCCAGCCCCGCTCCGGACAGGCGAGGGCGAGGCCTTCAGGCCCACCCCCCCCAGCCTCCCAGCTCACCGTTGCTAGGTCTGTTCTAGTTCCAGGGTCTGACTGATGGATCACGCCGCAGTCCCCACAATACGTGGTACCTGTCTCCCTGTGACCCCAAACGACAGTGGCAGACACACGGAATACTCTCAAAACAAGTAAGCACATTTATGCATGCTGCCAAGAAGCGTTATGATGACAAAATGAGGATGTGAAGTCACTTCAACATTCGATGTACACGTCAGAGGGGGGCGGGGGGAGCTGGCACCAGAGCCTCCTTCCTCACAAGTGGAAACATCAGCAGGAAAAGGATTCCAGAGTCTTCTGTACACCGTGCATCCAGACCCTTACTCCTGGCAGGCACGGCATCAGCATATGGCTCAGCTTTTCTATTCATGGGTCAAGAATTGTGACCCCATGTGGGCGGGAGCCCTGAACCCAAGGGGATGCAGAAATCAGTCCAGTGCCTGCGGGGGCAGGGGGTGCTCCCGGGGTGGAGATCAGACCTGGCCCCCGAGGCCGTGGGCCCTAGGAAAAGGCCTTTCTCGTGGCACGTCTGTCTGTCCTTCCTGCTGCGTTGTGGCCTCAGGACAAAGGAAAGACATGGGCGGCAGAGAAGGGGACACTAGAGCGTGGCCCTGAAGCCCAGCATCAGGCTGTGGGTGCCCAGGAACTCGGGTCCTGTGTCCTGAGGCAGGGCTCACACTGCCTCTGGAAGCACCAGCCCTGCTGACCACAGCCAGCTCACAACCAAAGTTGCTTCTCATTCTGTTTAAGCCTCCTTCGTTCAGACGTCAATGGCCCTGGGGACCACTGTTCTCAGAATGGGGCGGCCCGCCCGCCCCCGAGCCCCTCTGAGGCCTGTTCACCCAGAGGACAGCCCCGAGCATGCTCAGGAACAGGGGCAGCTTCAGGAAGACCAGGAGCAGGAAGTGGACGCTGCTGAGCAGGGACCTGCGGGAGGGACACGGTGATGGAAGTGAGAAGCCTCCCAGGACCCCTCTTCCCAGCGCTACCTCTCCCAGGTTGTGGGTGCCAATAACCTGCATGAGGCAGCCCCAGGTCCCTGGGCTGATGTTGGCCTCCACTCCCCACAGGCTCTCTTCCTCATCCACACTATTCTCGCCCTGGCCTGCTCTACTGGGGGGAGTGACTTGGGTCCTTGTAAGAGAATGAAGAGATTGGGACACAGACTCACACAAACAGGAACCCTGGGCAGACACAGGGAGAAGACGGCCATCTACAAGCAAGGACAGGGGCCTTAGGAGGAACCAGCCCTGCGACCCAGGATTCAGACTTCGGGCTGCAGAGCTGTCCAGAGAGCGTCTGCGGTGTTCGCCGTCCAGCCTGGGGAGCTTGGTTATGGCGCCCGAGCTGACTGCCGCCAGGAGTGGGTCTTATTCATCGCTGTTCACGGGCTTGTATACAATACATCCATCTATCAGTTAATTAATGAGCTCTTTTTAGTACGTTAATTATCTCTCGATTGTTGAGTGCCTGGAGGACAGACACCTGACCATTGTGTCCATCCTCAATCCCCTGTGTTCCCTAAATCAGGGACAGACGTGAGGAGGTGCTCAGCAGTTATTCACCCAGTAAGCGAATGAGCTCTCCATCCAGTGCCGATCAAAGACCCTAACTGGTACTTACATCTGATTTAGACTCATGAAATTAAAAGACTTTTTCTTATTAAGAATTAAAAGCAGTTAAATAGAAAAGAACTCTCAAACAGAGGGCAAATGGGAGCGGGGACAGAGGGGTCCCTGGGTGGAGAGATGGGAGGCCCCGTAGGACTTGGCGGGAAGCCCCGCAGTGGGAGAGCACAGCAGGCCTAGAAACAGAGCCCGGAGGCCAAGGAGGGTGAGGGGAGGAAGCGAAGGGGCCGCTCAGCTTCCAGAAGCCCCCGTGGCTGCAGGGCTGGGCAGGTGCTGGGAGGCGGAGCGGGGCTCAGCTTCTCCCTCTTAGAACGGGAGCCCGCGTACCTGTCCCTTCCCCCACAGGAGGGCGTTGTCGGAGGGTCAAAGCGTGAGCAGGACAGGGACAGGAAAGCCCTATGAGATGCCTGGTGCTCCAGGGACACAGGGGACAGTCACTGTCACCATTATTGTCATAGAAAAAACAAGGGAGACAGGACTTCCTATCAGTCACTATCACCACTGTTCCCATAGAAGCAACTAGGGAGACAGGACTTCCCAGGACCTCCCAGTACTCCCAGAATTTGGATCAAGAGCCATCCATGTGGCCCCATGACCCCCGTGCCCGCACAGCCTGACACACCCTCAGCCCTGGCCGCCTGCTCGTCCATGTCCCACCCTCTGAGCTCCGCAGGGGACGCTCCGTGTCTCTGTGGCAGGACTCAACACAGCACCGGTAGCACAGGACTTCACTCAGTGAGAGCGGGACGGGTGAGTGGATGAGAACAAACCCCCCAGTGCACTGAGCGCCAGGAGGCAGGACCGGAGGTGGGCGTCACCGTGGCCTGTGCCGCCTGAGACCAAGTGGGAGGGACGCCTGCATCCTGGCTGGGACCTGGGGCTACAGTAAGTCCCCGCACTGGAGAAGTGTGGCACAAGAGGTCACAGAGAACAGCAGCATCCGAGCTGACTTACCCGCCATTGGAGTGGGAGCTGGTCACAGTTGGGGAGCTTGCACTGGCTTCTGGAGGGACTGGCACTGTGAACGTGTTGGTGGTAAGCATGGTGGTTGACACTGTCCTTGTTGCGTGGCACAGAGAACAGATTACATCCCACTCTGCTTGTCCCTCTCCCCCAGCCCTGCACGTGGCTCTCAGCCTGGGAGGCGTGGGGGCTGCCCGGGCCTGAGGAGCCTACAACGGGGCCATGGGAAGGGGCCTGAAGCCTGGACCGCTCATATCTCCTTGGCCTCTAGGAGACTCAGGACCTCAGAAGCAGGTGAGTCTGGGTACAGGTCCAAGAGGACATGGAGCTGTCCCTGGAACGGGGAGGGGGCCCAGGGCTGCCTCAGGTCAAGGGCGGCTGGAGTTCAGCTGAACATTAAACACTCTTGCCGTGTGGGACACAACGTTGGCCAAAGCCTCCCCCACCTTTTTTATCCAACCAGGACAAGGGAAGAGAGGGGCTTCCCTGGTGGCTCACATGCCTGAGATCTGTGACATCTAAGGTCAGGACCAGCCCTGAACAAAACCACGATGTTCAGGAGGCTTTACTTTGCACCAGTAGGTTCTATGATGGGGATCATTTCTTCCCAGGAAGAGGGTCCAGACTCCATGAGACAAGGCACGTGCTGCACTGTACAGCTGTAACGGGCCTCCCCGGGTCCCAGTGTGGTGGGGACTCTGCTGAGCATGTCCCGTGGCCCCCACAGTAAGTGCCCTGTGAGCTGGAGCTGGCTGTCCAAGGGTCAGCAGAAGCAGAGCCCAAGAGATAGAATTGTTTAAACCACGGTACTCTCAGTAGTGTCTGCCTTCCAGAAAGCAACCATCTTTAATCCCAGAAGCATATATGGCCCGTGATGGGATTTCAGGCTCCCAGAATGCAACTGTTTGACTGTAGAGGCCACTCCCAACCTCAGGAATTGGGCCACCAGACCTCAACTGTGGAACAAAGGATGGGATCAGCAGCTATGAGACCTAGCCCAAAACGCCACTAAAAGTGGGGACACCTGGACGCCAGAGGGCCCAGGACAGCAATGGGAGCAACTGGGATCTCTGGATCCCACGGCAGAGGGTCCCTACGGCCCACGGGCTGAACCTGCGCCCATCGCCGTGACCTCTCTGGGCAATAGGCTCAGGCACGGAGCTGTGCGGAGGAACTCGATGTGCCCAGAGGGGCCTGGACCCGTCCTGGAGGAAGCCCCGGAGCCCGAGAGCCTGGAAGCCCTGCCCCTCCAAGCCCGCGGGAACAGCGGGTCCCGGGAGACCTCGGGACTCTACCAGCCTCCGTGGCAGTTCACTCTGAGTGAGCGCAGTCCCTGGGCAGGGACCTCAGGGACCGGGACATAGCAGGCCCTCAAGAGACACGGCCACACGTACGCTTGCTCTTACCTGGGCCAACGGTCACTCTTATTGGGACGTTAAGGTCAGCTCCGGTTTTCTCAATCGCACACCAGTAAGTGCGTGTGTCCTCTCTCCTGAGCTTCTCCATGGTCACGGTGAAGGTGCGGCTGGTCTGATTGTCCCTGATGGACACATGGTCCCTGTTCACCTCCTGTTCTGAGCCGGTGGTTTTAGCAAGGATCTTGCAGCTACTCCAATCAGCTCCTTGACACCAGTACTTCACGTAGGTCTCCCACCCTCGGACATAGCGACACTGCACGGTCAGTGAGCCTCCCTCAGGGCCACGCACCTCTTCTGGACCCGTGATGCCAGCTGATGAGCCTGGAACACACACACCCATGTACCTGTCACCTTCACCCCACGCCCACCCCATGGGCAGGGCCGCAGCCTCCTGCACCATGAAAGCTCCAGTAAGTGCCCGTGCCTGGTGAGAGGCACAGTGTCCAGGACGGAACGCACCTTCCTCAAGTCAGACCCCTTGTCCCTCAAATTTCCACTGCGTCGTAGCCACCACAAACGTCACCCTAGAGCACAACCGTGGATCTCAAAGACACCGATGTTGACACTGAGCAGGAAGAGCTCCTGGCAAGTCACCCCTCCCCTTCCCCGTGGCCAAGAGATCTCTTGTTCCCTCAGTGTCCCTCGGCCCCAACGTCTGTGTGAAACTGGCCTCTGGGGAGGAAGCGTCCACAGGAGTGTGGTTGTGCCTGACCTGTGCCCATGGCCTCAGAGGCCCGGCTGTGCCGAGGCTGTTCCTGGTGGTCCTGGTGGTCCCAGTGGTTCCATCGTGGGCCCCTCCCCCCAAGGGAGTGCCATGAAATTGACCAAAACGAGTGATGCCCACTACGGACCCCGTGTGCCACGGGTCCCCTTTTCTCCTCTGAATGGTCATCTATTTCAGTGTAAAATAAAAACAGCTGTGCTACGACCTTGGCAAGCAGAGTAAGGTTTTTCTTAAACTTAATGTACATGATTCAGGCAAGAGTTAAAAAATGAGAAACTGACAAGCTTTATTACCTTGTCTCTTCAAAGAAACAACCTACAGAGGACCCCAGCCTGCCCAGTATTTTCCATGTAATCCTTTTCCTGATGGCACTCAGAGCAAAGGAAATACCTTAAATGAGACTTCCACCAAAATTCTTTAAGTTCGTGACACAAGGCAGACCAGTCACAAAAATGATAGACTGATGATTTATTGGCCGCCAATGGCCAGTAGGTTGAACGTTGTGGTATACGAGAGGGGGACCCAAAAAACCCATTATCCCCTGGAGGGCGGGCCCCTTGTATAACACAGGCTCCCCCCGCTGTGTGCATGTTCTGGGAGCCCATCTGGATCCGCGTTCCAGCTGGCGTTGTGGTGAGAGGCTGCGCTTGACATCAGTGAGTTTATTTTGCAGACTCAACACGTTGGCACATTTCATGATGGGTGATTTCCACGCGCACCTGCCCACGACGTGCTGAGTGGTCAGCAGTTTTTGACCAAAAATGACATGACCTCCATGCCCTCCCCTCCCTGTTCACCCAATCTATCCCTGAGTGACTTTTTTGTTTGTTTCCCCAAATGAAAAATATCCTCAGAGGCAAATGTTTTTCCAATGTGGTAAGAGGTGAAACCAATAATGGCAGTAACAGGAAAAGGCATCAAAACGATGAGTTCAGAAGTGTTTTGAGCACTGGAAGAAACATCTCGATAACTCTATTGCATCAGACGGAGAGTACTTGGTGGTGACTGGTTTAAACATGTAAGAATAAATAGATAATTTTTATAAATAAATTCCTGCGTCTTTTTGTTTCCTCCTTTACAAGTTTGCCATAAAACTGGAAGTACCTGGGACAAAGTTCCACGGTCGCCCACCTGGGAGGAAGGGAAGCAGCAGAGCTGGGTGGCCAGGTGGCCCTGCCCCAGAGACCCGGTCCTCTCTGAGCATGGAGTACCAGCTGCTCCCGAGGCTTCGCATCGCGCCCAGCCTAGGCGCCTTCCAACCTCTGGTCTTCCCTCCCCGGGACACCGCTCCACCCATCTCCCTTACTGCACCTGACCACGCTGAAGACGGTCTGGCCTTTGCTTTTTCTCCAGCAGAAACTTAGGCAGGCAGGTGAGCCGGGGGAGGGACAGGCCGGAGAGCCTGACCACCCTGGCTTCGCGGCCTGGCCCCTCCCGGCGGCGCTCTCAGCGCGGCAGGGAAGAGGGCTCAGCTCTGGCTACAACCACCACCAGCCGCTGAGGCTCTGAAACTATCCAGGTCCCTGAGCCCCCCTCCACTGAGCGCGTCTGAGCTGGAGCCCGAGCATCTGAGTCCTGACAGGGCCCCGGGGGAGACTCGCGCCTCAGTGCCTTCCCCTGTGTGTGCGCAGAGCCAGGGTGAGAAACGCTGTCAAAACAGGGCGTTTTTGCTTGTTCCCAGCACCTAGCAGAGAGCCTGTGAGACAGCACACACTTGGCGTCCATTTCACTTGTCCTTTCTCCCAGGACAGACCCTCTCTGCTTCCTGCCCAGCCTCAGCCACTCCAGGTCCTAAAGCCCCCGCCCCGCTCACCTGGGATGATGAGCAGGAGCAGAGGTGGGAGCAACCCCATGGTCCTGGCCCCGTGTTCTCTCCCTGTGACCATCAAATGCCCGGGACCTCCAGGACTTAACGGAACCCAGTGAGACAATACCTTCAATTCTGTGACTCTTTGTTTGTCTCACTTCTTACTTCTCTTAATTGTTATCTGCAGTTACTTCCTCATACACTAAGTAGCAGAGAAGCAATGGTGTTATTTAGGAGTGTACAACTGCGGTGTCTTCAGTGATTTGGGGAAGCGAAGCGTCCAGGCCTGGCCAGGGCTCCCCGGGACCGAGTGGGAGTGCGAGGAGCTGAGAAGGTGGCGGCCAGCACAACGGGGCAGGGCGCACAGCGGGGCCGCACGGAGAGCTCAGAACGCGGGTCCCCGGGAGTGAGGGAGATGTGCTGGGGGTGCCCTTTGGGAAGGACGCAGCGCCCAGGGCTGACCCCCAACCTGGCTGCAGGGACAGTCCCTCCCCCACCTGCCGCCAGGAAGCCCCCCCCCCCCAGGGCCTCTCAGACCCCTTCCTGCCCTGTCCCCTGCCCCCTCCCCCGCTCAGGACAGCTTCCTCCCAGTCCTTCGTCATTCTGAAGCACGGAGCCCAGTTCGTCCAGCTCTGAGGAGCCGAGACAGTAATCTCCTTTGTTCTCACACATTCACTCACACACCCGCTCCCTTTCGTACACAGGGCCTCCGGCGGCGCATTGTTTTAGGAAGAGAGATGGGGACCCTGAACCCTCCATTCCCAGCACCATGGCCACATGATGCACGAGGGAAGAGCTCTTACCCGGACCAATGGTCACTTTAACTTGAACCTTAGGGTCAGTTCTGGTTGACACTCCCACACCGGTAAATGTCTGCAACACCTTGCCCGAGCTCCTCCATGGTGTGCTGGGGAGCGGAGCTGGAATACAGACTGAATGCGCTGCTTAGGTCCTGCTGAATGAGGGTTACAGACCTCCCCCAGGGGCAGAAGGGAGCTCCCTCAGCCTCCCAGCTCCCTCCTTGGGCAGGTGAAGCCCACAAGGTCGTTTGGGTTGAAGGCGGAGTTTCAGTACCAGCACACAAAGGAGGTAGAATCACAAGATTTATTCCTTGCAGGTCTGGGAACGCGGTGAGGTGGCAGGGAGGCAGCAATTAGCCAGGCAAAGGGAGCAACAGCCAGAGCAAGGTGGCAAGTGCCTGTCACTTACAAGGTAGTAGGGGCGAAGGTCATTAACTTTTCACAGGCTCAACTCTCAGTGGTTATTTTAAATGCTGCCCTGGGGAAAGCAAAGCCGGGTCCTAGGGCAGGAATACTTAGTCCACGTCTCCGGCTCAACGGCCAGACTCCGGGTGTGAGCAAGGCTGTCCCAGCGCGGAACGCCCAGGCAGCAACCCAGAGAAGCACATTGTTCCCTCCCAAGTCGCTTCCCTAGTCGTGCAGGGCCACGGTGAACGAGCGTCTCTCCTGGCTGATGTACACGGCGCTCTTCCTGCCCTTCTGCTCGGACCCAGGGCTCTGGACGAGGACGCTGCAGCCGCTCCCATCAGCTCCGCCACACCACTGCTCCACGTGGGTCTCCCACTGCGGGCCGTAGTGGCACTGGGCGATCACTTGCTCAAAGAGAAAGGAGGAGGAAAGAAATAATGAAGGAAAGAGCAAAAATGAATGAAGCAGGAAATAAACTCAAGATGGAGAGGAGCAACAAAGCCAACAGTTGTTTTTCTTTTTTCTTTTTAATGCCCAGGCAAGATAGTCATGATAGAAAGAGACAAGCTCTAAATAATCAATAGCGAGAAGGCAAGGGGACATCACCACATGCCTGGCATATATTAAAAAGACAGAGGAAGATAATATAATAAGAGGAAAAGAGACTAAAATGATATCGAAACAAGTTGATGTCAATAGAGTTGAAATTAAGATGAAATAACAAGTTCCTAGAAAAATAATGTATCAGAGTTAGCACAAAAATAGAAAGCACAAATAATCCTACAACTATCTAAATGAATCTAAACTATTATTAAGGCCTCTCAAAAAGAAAATGCCAGGTATATACAGCTTTAATAAAGAGTTTCCTAAACATCCAAGGAAGGGACGTTTACCACACAGAACTTTCTGAAACAGAAAAGGAAGACGCAACCCCACATCCAATGAATGAGAATAGCACAATCCTGATGCCCAAACCTGACCAGGGTGGGGCAGGAAAGAAATATGACAGACAAATATCACCCATGAGCATAAACACAAAAGTCTGAAACAAAAACCCAGCAAGACAAATCCAAGGATCTATAAGAAGGACCATGTACTATCACCAAGTCACATTTATGCCAAGAATACAAAGCTGTTTGACCATTACAAAATCAAAATAGTAATGAGCATACCACAGTAACAGAGTAAAAAAGAACAATCATATGATCATTTGAATAGACACAGAAAAAAGGATTTGATGGAATCCAACAGCCCTTTGACTTGGAGGCCTTTCTGGACCTCAGGGGTTAACCACCGCGCCCCAAGTGTGTTGGGCCTCTTTGCCCCTGAGATCAGATATGGAACAAGGGACGGGATCAGCTGCTGTGAGACTTGACCCAAAACTCCACAAACTGCAGGGGCACCTGGACACCAGAGGTCCCAGGACAGCATTGGCAGGAACTCAGGCCATGGGTCCCACGGCAGAGGGTCCCTACGGCCCACGGGCTGAACCTGCGCCCATCGCCGTGACCTCTCTGGGCAATAGGCTCAGGCACGGAGCTGTGCGGAGGAACTCGATGTGCCCAGAGGGGCCTGGCCCCGCCCTGGAGGAGGCCCAGGAGCCCGAGAGCCTGGAAGCCCTGCCCCTCCAAGCCCGCGGGAGCAGCGGGTCCCTTGAGACTTCGGGGCTCTACCAGCCTCCGTGGCAGTTCACTCTGAGTGAGCGCAGTCCCTGGGCAGGGACCTCAGGGACCGGGACATAGCAGGCCCTCAAGAGACACGGCCACACGTACACTTGCTCTTACCTGGGCCAACGGTCACTCTTACTGGGACGTTAAGGTCAGCTCCGGTTTTCTCAATTGCACACCAGTAAGTGTCTGTGTCCTCTCTCCGGAGCTTCTCCATGGTCACGGTGAATGCGCAGCTGGTCTGATTGTCCCTGATAAACGCACGGTCCTCCTTCACTTCCCACTCTGATCCAGCGGTTCTGACAAGGGTCTTGCAGCTACTCCAATCAGCTCCTCGACACCAGTACTTCACGTAGGTCTCCCACCCTGGGTCGTAGTAACACTGCACGGTCAGCGAGCCTCCCTCAGGGCCACGCACCTCTTCTGGACCCGTGATGCCAGCTGATGAGCCTGGAACACACACACCCATGTACCTGTCACCTTCACCCCACGCCCACCCCATGGGCAGGGCCGCAGCCTCCTGCACCGTGAAAGCTCCAGTAAGTGCCCGTGCCTGGTGAGAGGCACAGTGTCCAGGACGGAACGCACCTTCCTCAAGTCAGACCCCTTGTCCCTCAAATTCCCACTGCGTCAGAGCCACCACAAACGTCACCCTAGAGCCCAACCGCGGATCTCAAAGACACCGATGTTGACACTGAGCAGGAAGAGCTCCTGGCAAGTCACCCCTCCCCTTCCCCGTGGCCAAGAGATCTCTTGTTCCCTCAGTGTCCCTCGGCCCCAACGTCTGTGTGAAACTGGCCTCTGGGGAGGAAGCGTCCACAGGAGTGCGGTTGTGCCTGACCTGTGCCCGTGGCCTCAGAGGCCCGGCTGTGCCGAGGCTGTTCCTGGTGGCTCTGGTGGTCCCAGTGGTTCCATCGTGGGCCCCTCCCCCCAGGGGAGAATCTTTGAAATTGACCAAAACAGGTGATCCCAACTATGGAACCCATGTGCCACGGGTCCCATTTTCTCCATTGAATTACTTTGATTTCTTTGTCAAAAAGAAAGTTATTTATAATTATTTATGGATTTCCCATTCTGATCCATTGATCCTTTGTCTATACTTTTGCCAATCCATGCTGCTCTGACTACTATCGCTTTACAGGAAGGCAGGTATTATTGAGTAATGCATTTTCTTATCATATATGTTCTTCTTGTTCTTTTTAAAAATTGTTCTCATCTTTGAGAGATTCAGGATTCAGAGAAATGTTTCTTTACTGTAAGAGCGACAACACTTCAAACACGATGAAAAATGACAACTCTCGCCAGGCCTCAGGGACAGACCCTGGGCGGTAGTGAGGCCCTCAGCAAGCAGGGGAGCAGGTGGCCCTTCCCCCATGACAGGGCCCTGTGTTTCTTACCACACCTCAGCCACTGCAGGTCCTAAAGCTCCCACCCCACTCACCTGAGATGATGAGCAGAAGCAGAGGTGGGAGCAGCCACATGGTCCTGCCTGTCTGAGCTGTCTCCCTGGTCACTGTCGAATGCCAGTGTCTTCCAGGAACTTCAATCCAGAAAGAAACTGCCTTTGCTTTGTCTAAATCATTATACTTTGTCTCTCTCCTCTACTTCCCTAATTGTTGTACTCAGTTCCTTCTTCATTTCATTAATGAGGAGAAAAGCAGTGTCATCATTTACGAGTGTACGACTGAGGTGTCTTCAATGATTTGGGGAAGCGAAGCGTCCAGGCCTGGCCAGGGCTCCCCGGGACCGAGCGGGAGTGCGGGGAGCTGAGAAGGTGGCGGCCAGCACAACGGGGCAGGGCGCGCAGCGGGGCCGCACGGAGAGCTCAGAGCGCGGGTCCCCGGGAGTGAGGGAGATGTGCTGGGGGTGCCCTTTGGGAAGGACGCAGCGCCCAGGGCTGACCCCCAGCCTGGCTGCAGGGACAGTCCCTCCCCCACCTGCCGCCAGGTAGCGCCCCCCGCAGGGCCTCTCAGACCCCTTCCTGCCCTGCACCCCCCCAACACAGCTTCCTCCCAGTCCTGCGTCACTCTGAAGCAGAGACCACAAGCAGACATAAAAAAGAAATGGCATGTTCCCTTCATCCTCATTTTGTCTGAGATGGGATTTTCCCCCCTACCAAATGGTTGCTAATTTTGCTGGCTGTGGGTTCTTGGCAAACTTAACTCACATGGAAACTGATTATTCCAATAGTCTCGAGGTGACAGTCCCTCCCCTCCCCCCTCTTCCTGCAGAAGGTCCCCTTCTCCCTTCTCTCACCTGTCCATTTTCTCTCCAAATCAGTTCTTCATGTCTCTGTTTTAATATATATTTGCCATGTTTGTGAATTTTGTTCTGCTTTTGGGAGGTTTTTATTTTATGTTTTTGCTTTCTCTTCCAACCCTTGGATAAAATACTAGAAATTACTTTTTCTTTTTCTTTTTCTTTTTTTTTTGGCAAGAGCTCCTTTTTTTTGTTCTCTGATTGCTGATGTTTTCAACTTTCTTCTATTCCCTGACTCTACGCTCATGTTTTGGTTTGGCGTGGTCATTCTCTTCTCTATTATAGGCTCCTCAAACGGCTGATCATTCTTGGTTACCTGACCGTAACTGATCCAAAACAGCACTGAGATCTCTGAGCAAGTGGGAGCAAAATAATATGCAAAACAGCTCTGCGTTAGGGTGTCAAATGCTCGGAGCCCTCCATCACCCTTGACTTCAGGTGTGCTTCCAGGTGAGTGGCCAGAGAAGCGCAGGCTGAACTCCGGAACGAAGCAGATGTGAGCTGGCCCCAGCGCCGTGTCCAGCTGCCAGGTCTTCCTATTTTATCAAGGTCAAGAGCCCTCTGACTTGCTGTTCTCAGTGAAAGCTGCCTGCGCTCGTCTGGGGGCTCTGCCAGCCTGCAGGAGTTTGGGGAACTGCTCCGACCACTTCCCCATTCCTAGTCCCACTTCTCACCCCCATCTGCTGACCTTGAACTCAAAGCTCCCGAGTTCTTCTCTCGTGAAGGTCAGTTAGAAGCAGGAGTCGAGAAATGCAATATATTTTACTTGCTCTTTGCCTTGAAGGTGATGTCTGACACGGGCCAGACCGCTGAACCCAAGACTTCTGATGCGGCCCTCCCTGAATCTGGGTAGGACTTATCTCCCAGTGTCTGGAGTACATTCAGGTGCTTGTCTCTTGTCACCTAATCCAATTAGCCTGGTAGCATCAGCAAAGCATGCCAAGTAGCTCGGAGCAATGTCCAGGTAATGCGGACTCCTTCACATTGTACTCCAACAGAAGAGGAGCAATTAACACAGTCCTGGGACAAGACTAGGAAAGCTCACGGTCGTCCAGGCTAAGTGACTGCAAGCTGCCTTTGTCCCTCCTTCCTGGAGGGTATTGAAAAGGATACATTTGCCACACCCCATGACACACCAGGTTGTGTTCACCAACTGCACTGAAGTCGTCACAGTGGCACCGAGGCTGCCACGTGCCTGCTCCCTGGTTGAGTTCTTAGCAGCCCCTTGTCATGGCTCGTGAAAGGTGGCCATGACGGGACCCCCAGCCTGTGCCCTTCACGTCTTGGAGGGTGGCACTGATCTCTGGTTTCCTCAGAAGGTGTGATGGATGCTCTCGATGTACTCTCTTGGTCACAGCAGAGGGGCAGTTTCAGGGGCTTCCACTTCATCGTCCCCAATACGATCACTTTCACCCCGCAGGCCGAAGGTCAGCGTGAGAGCCATACAGATTTCTAGGTGTGTCCACTTCTCCTTTGTTCCCAGAAGCCAAGGATACAACCACCGAGTCATGTGACTTGCCTCCAGGTCTTGATCTTGCCTCTCGTTCTAATTCTAACCGTCGTCCCCATTGATCCCCAAGGCAAGTGCCGCCAGAACTTGCTTCCCAGTCCCACAGTGACGCTCCCCTTGCCCAGACAGGTAAGTGCTTCCACCTGCCTCTGCTGTTCCACAATTAGATCCGTTCCCTTGATCCTATGGAGCTCAGGATGTAATGGCATCCCCAACCTTGAACCCAGAGCAGCGAGGAAGCCACTACAGACCCTAAGGTAATGGTTAGTTAGTGGTTGCCACATACCTTAGGTAATGGTTGGTTAGTGGTTGCCACATACCACTAACCAACGTATTTCTTGTTTTTCTTATATAGAGAGCGGCCTTCGGGACCTCCCAAGGGCCATACTCATGTGCTGGGTTTTCAGGTCAAATATAACATCTCCACTTCAGCTTCCTCAATTCTTCAGGCTTGACCCCTTCTTCCACGCCCTGCTATAGCCATCCTGGCATCTTTGCTTCTGTTAACCTAGGGCTTCCAAGCTTCTAGGCCCCCTCTCCCCAGCATGCACTGTTACCAGTCTCTGTGGCTTTGCAAGTGTGCTGAGCACCCCGTGTTGTGTGCTGAGTGCCCTACGCAGACCAGCTCTTCCTCATTCAGCATGATATTCCACCACCGTGAGCCAACGTCTCGAGGCTTGTCCCAGCTTGCTCTTCTGGTTCCTGCCACAACACACTAGTCTCCCCTTCGTAGCCCAGCATACCCTCAGGTGGGCCATGCTGACCCTCAACCCCAGGCATTGTCTGGTGTCAGGGGGAGAAATGGGGGCCAGAGCCCTGCGGCAGAGCCTTGGGGCTGGGCGGTGTCATGCTTCATCTCAGACTTCTGCGCAGTCTTTCCAAAGGCATGGGACAGTGGGCGCCACTGTCCTCTAACAAGTGGACTGAGCTACTCCCACAGACCCAGAGGGCTCCAGGAAATGGGGTCAAGGGCCAAGGGCTCACGTGCATCAGCAGATGTGCCTCCCACGTCTCAGGGCCTAACTCTTCTCTCTCGGGAAACGTCTGTTCTAAAATACTTGCTGAGGCTAAGAATTTAAACTTGGCTGAAGTTTTGCTTCTCTCTCTTTTTTTAAAGTTTCTTTTTCTTTATTTTTAGAGAGGAGAAGAGAGGGAGATAGAGAGGAACTTCAATATGTGGTTGCCTCTTGTGCGCCCCCTACTGGGGACCTGGCCCGCAACCCAGGCACGTGCCCTGACTAGGAATCGAACTGGTGACCCTTTGGTTCGCAGACTGGCACTCAGTCCACTGAGCCACACCAGCCAGGGCGTGCTTCTCTTAAAATTGGGTCCTGATCTGATCTACAGAACAATTATTCTTTCTAATGAAGGAAATGAGGGTCTTTTGAATGCTACCAAGGATGTTTTCCAAAGGCATGGGTTAAAATGTTTATTGCCATACAATGCATAAGAGTCACCAGTAGAATGGATGTTGGGTATAGTGACATTGGAATATTATATCATAATCAGAATAAACAAATACCTACATATACAACCACATTGTAACAATGTTGATGAACCTCATAAACATGCTCGCTACCAAATGAAGCCAAACAGAAAAGAGTATACTGCTGTGTGATTCATTCGGATGAAGCCGCAGAACAGGCAGAACAGATTTAGACAATCAGAAGACAGGAGGGTAGCCGGTGACCTAAGAAGTAGTGGCTGGAAGGAAGTTGTCCAACACCATGACTGTGGGCTGTGGCCTCCCGGAGAGGGTCACATTTGTTTCTCGATCTGGGTGCCCTTTGCGTGAGCATGTTTTGTTTGCACGAAGTTATCGAACGAACTGTGTGCTTTAGATGTGTGGACTTTCTGTATGAATTTTATACTCCAAAGAAAAGTTTTCAAGGTTTACCATGGAAATCTTTCATGGTAAAGCCACTACATATAGGTTTACTTCGTTCTTTAAATAGCTGCCCCCTGTTCCACTGTGTGGCTTCACTGTAATTAACTATTCCTGTGTCCGTGGCTGCCGAGCCTGTTTGCAGCTTTGTGCTCTTGCACTTGATGCTGCAGACTTCGGGTTCCAGGTAAGAGCATCAACGCACTCCGCGCACCGCTCGCGCCGATTGCGCCCAGGAGCCCAAACAGAATGTGTGGCGCGCTGCCTGAGGGTTCTGCTGAATGAATGGTGGCAGGGAGACTAGGGGAGCAAACCAGAGGAGTAGGAGCATTCAGCTCTGAGTAGTCTGGTTGTGTTTCCTTTGATGTCCCCGCTTCCTAAGCAAGAATGTTGTGGCCACATCCTGCACACTCAGCAGGGACCGCAACAGCTCAGGGTGAGCAGAAAAGGGAAACTGGAAGGGGAGAAGGAAGGGAGATCCCGGAGTTTTCTTGGTGTATGTTTTTTTCCTCTCCCTCCCACCCATCCCCCAGCAAGCCCCAGTATAGAAGCTGCAATTCCACCTGGAACCAGAAGGAGCTGGTCCTCTCTGACCAGGAGGACTATGGTCTGAAGACGCAGTGGGAAAACCATTGCATTTTTCCTGTCTTTATTCTCCCTCTGCTTTGTCCCGGGTGCTGACCAGTCACGGGAAGTACACAGCAGCTAGGAAGAGAAGAGACCAGCTTTCTAGCTCAAGAACCAGGAGGAAGAGTAGAAGGCCCTGGAAGCTGGGAGGGGGGATTGGGGGGATCAGGAAGTAGAAGTAACTTAAGAAAGAGAACCTGGACTTCCTCCCAGACAAAAGTGTTGGCTGAAGCCATTGTTCCTTTGCAGACCCTGCCCCTGCAGGCACAGGCGGGCACCGTATCTGAGTCTCCATCAACCCGGCTAATACCATTTCCCCCGCCTGGGGATTCCCTGAGACCCTACCTCACCCACCTTGAGGGCCCACCCAAAGTGCTTCTAGGGACTTTCCATACAAACGACCTGTCTTCGTTCATGCTGCAAAGGTTCACAAATCCCAAACAAGCAGCATCTGACCTCGGCATGCCCTGTATACCTTGCTAAGTGGCCCCAGGCCCCACACTAACAGCAGCTGGACTCAGTTTGCAGCTTGGCCTCTTCTAGACACCCCCGCGCACAGCACAACCAGCAGCCCCCTGCAGATTTTTGTAGCTCATGCCAAATCGCCCCCCCGACAGGGCACAGGCAGGGGCTGATCTTGGCCCGCACCTCCTGGGAAGCCCCAGGGCCAGCAGTGCACCTGGTAGCCAACTTCAGGTCATGCCCTCACAGCAGCTTCTCCCCTGTAGTCGCTGCCTCTTGCTATAGCCAATCAGCCTGGGGATGGGGGTGGTCAATCCCTCCCAGTGACATGCCAACAGCTTCACTACAACAGGAGAGCGCACGCAGCCTCCATGGGGGCACACCTGGAGTTCCTGGCTTGGGTGACTAGTGAGGCTGTGCCACGGGCCCTACAGGATGCCTGCTGCACAAAGCCACCCCACCAAGACTGGGAGACCTAGCAGCTCCACCTAATACACAGAAACAAACACAGAGAGGCAGCCAAACTGGGAAGACAAAGAAACATGCTGCAAATGAAAGAACAGGAGAAATCTCCAGAAAAAGAACTAAATAAAACAGAGGCAAGCAAACCACCAGACACAGAGTTCAATATTTATGAGGAGTTCAACAATGTTTATGAGGATATTCAAGGAACTTAGAACTTTAATAGCATTAAAAAGGACATAGAAACCATAAAAAAGAGAAAGTCAGAAATGAAGAATATAATAACTGAAACAAAGAATACACTAGAAGGAATCAACAGCAGATTAGACAATGCGGAGAACTGAATCAGCAGTTTGGCAGATAAGGTAGCTGAAAATACCCAATCAGAGCAGCAAAAAGAAAAAAAATTAATAAGAATAGTTTAAGGGACCTCCAGACAACATCAAGCATAACAACATCCACAACATAGGCGTACCAGAAGAAGAGAGAGAGCAAGGGGTAGAGAACCTATTTGGAGAAATAATGACTGAAAATTTCACTAACCTGATGAAGGAAAAAGACACGTAAGTCCAGGAAGTGCAGAGAGTCCCAAACAAGATGAACCCAAAGAGGCCCACACCAGGACACATTATCATTAAAATGCAACAAGTTAAAGACAAAGTGAGGATCTTAAAAGCAGCAAGAGAAAAGCAGTTAGTTAAGAAAAACAGTTAGTTAGAAAACCAGTCCCAAGGGAGCTCCCATAAGACTGCCAGTTGATTTCTCCACAGAAACTTGACAGGTCAGACAAGATTAACAAGAAATATTCAAAGTGATGAAAAGCAAGGACAACTGAGATTACTCTACCCAACAAGACTATCATTTAAAATCAAAAGACATAAAGAGCTTCCCAAACAAGAGAAAGCTAAAGAAGTTCATAGCCACCAAATTAAAGGGTCATCTTTAAGAAGAAGAAGAATTAAAAAATAATAAATGTGAATAACAGCCCTGGCTGGTGTGGCTCAGTGGATTGGGGGCTGGCCTGCAAATCAGAGGGTCACTGGTTCAATTCCCAGTCAGGGCACGTGCCTGTGTTGCTGGCCAGATCCCTAGGGGTGGCACGTGAGAGGCAAACACACATTGATATTTCTCTCCCTCTCTTCCCTTCTCTCCAATAATAAAAATGAAATCTTTTAAAAAACAGAAATGTGAATAATAAAATGACAATAAATATATATCTATCAAAAACTACTTTAAATGCAAATCAATTAAATGCCCCAATCAAAAGGCATAGGGCAGGTGAATGTGTAAGAAAACAAGATCCTTTCGTAGGCTTACAAGATCCCTGCAAGAGACTCTCTTCAGATCAAAAGACACTCACAGACTAAAGGTAAAATGATGGAAAAATATATTTATGAAAATGGAAATGGAAAACAATGCTATAGTAACAATACTTACACCAGACAGAATAGACTTTAAAACAAAGGATATAACAAGAGACAAAAAGAGCCCAGCAATTCCACTTCTGGGTATTTGTCCAAAGAAACCTAAAACACTAAATCAAAAAGACACCATTGCACCATTATTTACAATGGCCAAGATATAGAAGCAATCTGAGTGCCCATCGATAGATGAGTGGATAAAGAAGATGCAGTGCATGTATAGACACAGTGGAACATAACTCAGCCACAAAAAAGAGTGAAATCTTGCCGTCTGCAGCCACGTGGATGGGCCTGGAGGGTATTTTGCTGAGTGAAATAAGTCATACAGAGAAAGACAAATGCCATATAATTCGCCTTATAAGTGGGCTTTTAAAAACAAAGTAAGTGAACAAGCAGAATAGAAACAGACTCATAGATACAGAGAACATCTGGATGGTCGCCAGATGAGATAGGGTTGGGGGCTAGGTGAGAAGGACGAAGGGATTAAGAAGTACAAATTGGTAGTTACAGAATAGTCACAGGTGTGTAAAGTGTAGTTTAAGGAATACAGTCAATAATATAATAGCTATGTGTGGTGTCAGATAGGTCCTAAATGTATCAGGGTAATCACTTCAGGAGGTGTATAAACGGCTAATCACTAGGTTGTACACCTGAAGCTAGTATAATATTGTGTGTCAACTGTAACTGAAAAATAAAAAAAAATTTAAAAAGGAAGGAAGGAAGGAAGGAAAGGAAAGGAAAGGACCCTGGGACTCCCAGGCTTACCCCAGCAATGCAGGCCTGACCGACCTGAAGAGAATACCCAATACCGGCCACTAGGGGGCGCACTCAGTTTAGCTCTGAGCTGCTCCTCGAAGGCTCTGAAGCAGCTCAGTTTGGAGCCGGAGTGCACCTGCTGCCTAGCCTCAAGCTGGACGGCCTGCCACGGACCCGCATCCGTAGTCAAAGACCTCTTCCGGGAGGTGACGGAATCGTTTGGTATGTTTCTGGGGGCAGTTCCGTGCCATGAAGCTTGTGTTAGAACTCCGCAACAAAATGAATTTTACTGGATGAAAAAATAATTTCAGAAAAACAAGAAAAAATTTCAAACTGTCCACTTTAAATGCATGCCGTTTATTTTATCTCAGTTTTACCTCATTACCTGCTCAGAAAGGGGGCTTGAGAGGAGGCCGGCGTTCCCTGAGGTCCTGCCCCGCACCCCTTGATCAGCTCCTGGCTGCCGGCGCCTGGGCTCACCAGGGCGCCCAACCCAGGGGAAGGCTCAGCCCCCAAACACGAACATGAACAGGCCCGTCCCCGCTGCCGCCTGCTCCGCGCACTCCCCGTAGCTGGCCCAGCACCCCTCTCCTGCTCCACAGACAGGGAACGCCCCTTGCACTCCGCCCCCGAGCCCCCACCCCACGAGGCCCCAGGTGGGTGACATGTGGCAGGAAGGACACAGCTGCAGGCCGGAGGGGGTGCCTGGACCTGTGGGTCAGGTGCTGTAACAGATCGATTTGAGGAGTATAGATGACCAAGAGTGTCATTTTGAGCACGTCTGAGTTCTACGAAAGTGCCAGCCGGCACTGGCAGTGAGGGCCGAGAACTGGCCCAGGAGATGGGGGGCAGGAGGGGTGTGTGGCCATCCTGTGTGAGGAGGTGATGCTAGAGAGCCAGGAAGGGACACTCCCCTCGGAGGACAGACTCCAGGAGGAGCGGGGAGAGTAGGGGAGGGAGGCACAGAGAGGGAGACAGGACAGGGCAGAGGAGGGAGGGGCCTTTCTGAAGGAGGAGGAGAGAAGGGAGGGACAGGCACTCAGGAGACGGTCAAGAGGAGCAGCGCCTCTGGTGCAGGGGGCGGGCCCAGAGCCCACACGCGGTGAAATATGCAAAGATGTGGGGAAAGCCACCCACGACAAAATGAGGATGAAGGGAAAAGGCCACTTCTCCTTCTGCATGAAATCTCCGTGGTGACCTCTGCTTCAGAGTGAGGCAGGACTGGGAGGAAGCTGTCCTGAGGGGGCGGGGAGGGGGGCGGGGAGGGGGGCCGGGGAACAGGGCAGGAAGAGGTCCAAGACGCCCTCCAGTGGGGCTTCCTGGCGGCAGGTGGAAGAAGGACTGTCCCTGCAGCCAGGCTGGGGGTCAGCCCTGGGCGCTGCGTCCTTCCCAAAGGGCACCCCCAGCACGTCTCCCTCGCTCCCGGGGACCCGCGCTCTGAGCTCTCCGTGCGGCCCCGCTGCGCGCCCTGCCCCGTTGTGCTGGCCGCCACCTTCTCAGCTCCTCGCACTCCCGCTCGGTCCCGGGGAGCCCTGGCCAGGCCTGGACGCTTCGCTTCCCCAAATCACTGAAGACACCTCAGTCATACACTCATAAATGATGACACTGCTTTTCTCCTAATTAATGAAATGAAGAAGGAACTGAAGGCAACAATTAAGGGAAGTAGAGGAGAGAGACAAAATGTAATGATTTAGACAAAGCGAAGGCAGTTTCTCTCTGGGTTCCATTAAGTCCTGGAGGTCCCGGGCATTTGATGGTCACAGGGAGAGAACACGGGGCCAGGACCATGGGGCTGCTCCCACCTCTGCTCCTGCTCGTCATCCCAGGTGAGCGGGGCGGGGGCTTTAGGACCTGGAGTGGCTGAGGCTGGGCAGGAAGCAGAGAGGGTCTGTCCTGGGAGAAAGGACAAGTGAAATGGACGCCAAGTGTGTGCTGTCTCACAGGCTCTCTGCTAGGTGCTGGGAACAAGCAAAAACGCCCTGTTTTGACAGTGTTTCTCACCCTGGCTCTGCGCACACACAGGGGAAGGCACTGAGGCGCGAGTCTCCCCCAGGGGCCTGTCAGGACTCAGATGCTCGGGCTCCAGCTCAGACGCGCTCAGTGGAGAGGGGCTCAGGGACCTGGATAGTTTCAGAGCCTCGGCGGCTGGTGGTGGTTGTAGCCAGAGCTGAGCCACCTTCCCTGCCGCGCTCAGAGCGCCGCCAGGAGGGGCCAGGCCGTGAAGCCAGGGTGGTCAGGCTCTCCGGCCTGTCCCTCCCCCGGCTCACCTGCCTGCCTGAGTTTCTGCTGGAGACAAGGCGAAGACCGCACTGTGGTCTAGTGGGGTCAGTGCAATAACAGAGACAGGGACAAAGTAGTCTGGTGACGTCAGGAGGCCTAAGTTGGCTGCAGGATCTGAGAACCTTAGAAGAGGTGACATTTGAGCTGAGCCTTGAGGAATGGATGTAAGATTTGATTCACTGAAACAGAGAAGATAATATTCCGGCCTGAGGGAACAGCATGTGCAAAGGTATAGAGACACAAACAAGCACAGTTTTTAGGGGGAAAGGAAAACAGTGCGCGTGTGAGCGCGCGCGTGGGAATGAGCGCGCCCTATGTGTGCGCTTAGTTTCTGCAACTTTATCGCGCGTGGGGAGTCGGAGGGGAGGGCCGCAGCGGCATGGGTGCGCAGCGTCCGGGTGTGGACAGCGGGGGAGGCCCAGGCGTCCACCTCCCAGCCCTCCACCTCCCAGCCCTGGGACTCAAAGGCACACCTGTGGGCTGCGGGCTGGTGGGGAGGGAAGCGTTTAAGGACGTGAGCAGAGGTTCTTGCACTAAGCAGTTAGGAGCCAAAAGGGGACCTTTTCAAGAGATGCGACAGCAAAAGAAACAGTGCCGGGGATTAAGGGACAAACAGGAGGAAGGATGTGAGAGCCCGGGGGCAGAGGGCAGAGGGCAGAGGCTCCTGGACGTGCCCCGGGAGGTGCCGGACCCTGTGTTGGGCTTCTGTTTTGCAGGCTGTTTCTGCATCAACGGCCCGTTGTCTGTGAGAGGGTCAAAAGGGGACTCGTTGACCATTCAGTGTCACTACGACCCAGGATGGGAAACCTACAAGAAGTGGTGGTGCCGTGGAGAGGCCTGGGGTTCCTGCGAAATCCTCATTGAAACCACTGGGTCAGAGCAAAAGGTGCAGAGAGGCCGAGTGTCCATCCAGGACGACCACTGGAGGAACTTGATCACCGTGACCATTGAAGAGCTCTGGGACAGCGACAGAGACACCTACTGGTGTGGGATCGGGAAATCCGGAACCGACCTGGGGCACCAGGTGCACGTGTTTGTTGGCCCAGGTAGGAGCCGCCCCCCTCCTGGACTCCGAGGCCCCGGTGCTGCCCCGCGGAGAACACAGAGGCTTTCCGCTGCCTGCCCGAGCAAGGACAGGAGCCTGGAGACTGCGCGTGCGTGTGTGCGTGTGCGTCCGTGTGGGCGCATACGTGTGTGCATGTGGTGGGGGTACACCAGAAAGTCTGGGCAGACAGCAAGAAAGAGCAAATCTCAGCATGATTGGATGTCTCCATCTATTGTCACCGGAGGGCGCAGAAAAGGACACTCCCCTGGGGCAGGCTTGTCCGGGAAGGCAGGGCCTCTCTTTCCAGGTCCTTGAGGCATTTTCTGCACCCTCCGAGCAGCCCCAGGCAGTCCGCTGCGCAGGGAGAGGGCTTCCAGAAAGCCATTGTCCTGCCTGTCTCGGCTACGGGACAAGTGGCCCTCTCCCTGGTCCCCTCTCTCTCTGGGGGTGGGGTCTCTGAACTCATTACTGGCAGAAGGAAAGGGTTCACTGCGGCGCAGGGGCCTCCCACGGCCTCCCATGGCTGCCTCTGAGCCTTGAAGGTGCCCTGGACCCAGCCACCCTGCCCCAGAAGCACCAGAGCCTCCCTGGGGTCAGAGACGTGGAAAGAGAGTCAGGTTGTAGCCCCCGCCCCACAGCTCTGCCTCCAGAGCCCTCAGTCTTACCTCCACTTTGGGCATCGGGGAAACTACCCCGCTCCCCCACCCTAGCCCTGCCCACAACACATGCACACACTCAGTCAGCAATACGAGTATCTGCTACTCATGAGCCCGTTTAGGAAGCCTTTTCAAACTTGGTACAGGCAAATATGGTGCGCATGTATGTGCGGTGGGGAGGTATGCTGGCTTTAGAGCGTTCCAGAAATGAACTGAAAAGACAATAAAGGTGGGGTGGATGCATGGAAAAGTGGAGGGGCAGTCGGCACCAGGATCACGGCAGGCTGGAACCCCCCATGCCAGACAAGTCCTCACGGGGCAGCCTTCACCGGTAGAGTGAGGAGGTGCCGGAGGCAGGAAGGATGGCAGCGGGGCAGCCGGAGACGGGGGCGTCTGGGGCCAGCCAGCTCCCGGGCTGCTCCTCTCAGGCAGCCAGCGCAGAGCCCACTGTGGCCCCAGCGGGGCTCCCCTTCCGCAGCCCGGGAACGCGGCCCCTGCCCTCCAGGTGGGGCCGAGCGGGGCTCTGAGACCCAATAGGATCCTGGGGAGACAGCCTGCGTAGCTGGCCACCCCAGGCCCTCGGACCCTGGTGAAGTGGTGTTTCTCTGTACACACAGTAATGTGATGTTTTGGGTAAGAAACCAAAAAGGGGCCAGAAAAGACCAGAGTGGCTGACCGGCAGTGCGAAGGCAGGAAGGTTCTCGGTCCCTGGGGGCGGGGTGTGGAGAGGGGCCTGGGGGCCACTGGAGTCACCCTCGGACCGTGCTCTGCTCTGTGCGTTCCGCGGCCACTCCAGCAGACACATTCGTACTGTCAACAGCTACCTTGACTGTATCTACGTCACCACAAACAGCTAAACCTGTGACGACACACCCGGCGGCACCTGAGACATCACTCACACCGGCCAGTCTGGCGCCCTCGCCTCCAGTTGCCCTCAGCAACCACAGCAACTTGTCTCTAACCGGTTTCCCGACCAGGTGAGCAGAGCTGGGCCCCTGCCGAGCTTTCCCCCAGCTGCCCTGGGACGGCTCCCCTAGGGATGCTCTGTCAGGGACCCCAACGTCACCCCTCCGAGGCGTCTGTGCCCGGAGAAACAGCGGTAGGTTCTGCGCCTCCCCCTCCTTTCTACCTCTGGTACTTACAGCGCTGCCCACTCCCCCTGGAACCTAAGCCAAGGTCCCCAGCTGGGCTGCAGGAGAGAAGGTTCTGGTCTCCCTCGGGCTCTCCCCCACAGCCCAAGAAGCAAAAGGAAGCATAGTGAGGTTCACCCTCAAGTGTGCTAGAAGGGAAGTACTCTTGCTGCTAACTTAAAACAACAAAACTTTATTATAGTTCTGGCGATCAGAAGTCTGAAATGCATCTCGTGGGGCTAAAATCAAGGTGCTGACAGGGCTGAGTTCCTCTGCAGAGTCCAAGGAAGAATTGTCCCCTTGACCTTTCCAGCTTTCAGAGGCCAACCACATTCCTTGGCTTGCAGCCCCTTCCATCTGCAAAGCCAGCGATATCCGAGAGTCTTTCACATTGTGTTATGCTAACACCGACTTTCCGACGCCCATCTTTCTCTATAAACACATGGAATCCACCCAGATAACCCAGAACCATCTCCCCATCTCAGAGTCAGCTGACTGGCAATTTTAAGTCCATCTACAGCCCTTGCCAAGTACCATAACATATTCAGAGGTCCTAGGGGTTAGGGCATCTTTGGGGAGCGTTACTCTGCCTACCACGGTTACATATGTTTCATTGCTCCAGCCCTTCTCCCCCTAAGTGCTGGGGAGATGAGAGGAATGGGTGGGGAGCTGAGGGCATCAGCCTGAAGTCCCCTCCCTTCAGAGGCTCCCGAAAGACAGTCAATAAGCTCCTCCATCAAAGGGCAAACACCCCCAGCCCCCGGTTCAGCCCGTCACTGCCTGGTGAGTGCCCATGGAGTCCAGGGGTGAGGTCCGTGCCTGCCCTGGGCCCAGCCTCTCAGATCACCCTCCACCGGCTCACTTCCCCGCTCCAGCCCACCGCCCTTCCCTTCTTCAGGATTCTAGTCCTCGGAGCCCAACTCCCGCCGGGCATCCTGTTCAGCGATGAGTCCAAAAGGGGCGAAGCTTTTAGGGGCACCCGCTTCACTGTCCAGCTTTGTCCTGCTCGTAGCTGCTTGGAGAGCGGATGTGCTGTTGAGTCAAGGGTGCAGGATGCAGGACTTTTACTGAGACTGGAGAAGCACAAGAGAAACCTTGGCAGGGAGAGAGAAGGGCATGGCAGGGAAGAGGACTTGTGCAAAGAGCACAGCAGATGTTTTTAGGATGTGCAGTGCAACGAGCCCGTTCTCCCTTGAGAAAACTGTTAGTGACGTCAGCATACCACATCCTGCTCACGGGAGGCTGAGGGGCAGAACAGGGGTAGCCTGTGGGGTGGTGGGGCGTGGGTCTTTGCAGATGAGATGAGGCGTAGGGTGAGGGGGGAGCAGATTCATACACACCGAGAGGAATACATGTGACCCAGAGCCCAATAGTCTCACTAGACCAAGTGTCCGCTCTCCGGCACCTACAATGAAGTGCATCTCACATGTACTCTCAGATGGCGGTCAGAGCCGCAGGAGGTCCCTCCCAGGAGAACAGGGCAGAAAAAGCCAGGTGCACAGATCTGAGCTTAAAAGATGGGCAGAATTTACAAAGGGAGAGAGAGGGTGGAGAGAATAGTAGAATAAGAAAGATAGAAAAGGGCAAGTTTTAGGTTCGGCTGGACTGCAGGCAACTTGCGATACGTTGTGGGGGACCAGCCAACAGGCAGAAGAGAAACAAAGGGTGCTGGGCCCCAGGCTGAGCCAGCAGGGAGGCCTCTGAAGGCTTAGCCGTTGGGAGCATGGCTGAGCCCCTAGGAGGGACCTTCCCGGCCAGGGAAGGGACCAGGCTTGCCCGTCGCGCCAGCCGGGGCTGCGCGGATTGGGGGCTGTGCGGGGAGGTGGCTGGGGGGCTGCCCCAGAAGAGTCTCACGCCTTGGCCATGGTCCCTGCATAGGTCCCTGGCCTGCAACATCCATTTAGTGCTGCCGACCTTCGTGAAGGTGCTCCTGCTCATGGGCCTGCTGTGCACTGTGATGTGGCTGCAGGAGCCCAGGGGTCCCCAGGGGGGAATAAAGCCCATCGAAGCAGAAGAACCGCAGCTCCCCTGCCAGGGGAACCCTTACGTCAAACAAGCAGAGCCTGCTGACCTCTTCTCGGGGAATGGGCAGTGGGTGCCGTTCCAAAAGAGACAAGGGTCCCTGCTGCAGTGAGGCCCCGCTCGTCCTGGCCTCGGGAACAGTCAGCACGACTGCGGACCCTGGCCCCCGCCGCGGGAGCAGAGGATGGAGACGAGGTGGCGCTGCCCTTGCACACAGGGTCCGCGGAGGCACCTGCGGCCTTGCCCACGTGGGTCCTCCCGCGGCCCCTTTCCTGTGACCCTGCAGGGGCACTGCCAGAGGGGACGACCATGGCACTGTCCAGGCGCCATCCAGGACTGCAGCTGATAATGGAGTCAAGACTCCAGCCAACCAGCAAGCGCAGAACCTGAATTAAACCAAAAGCTTCAGAGCGCGTCCACAAGGGCCAAGGCCCCCGCCTCCCGGGCGGGGTGCAGAGATCCACGGCTTCCACCTTCTGTTGCATCAGACCCTTCTGGAGAAGCACCTCAATGTCAATGATTAAACGTAGGCTTGGGCTATGACCCCACCCACATCCGATATGTCTGTGCTGTATGTTTCCTATTAAACCTATGGGTTTCCTGTGCTCTTAGAGATTATGTTGTTTGGTGTACTCTTTCCATACATTGCAGAGGGTGTGCAGTGACTTGAAATCAAACGCCAGAGGTAGATGTACCTCGCAGAGTGGACCTGAGCGTTAGGGGACGTTAGAGGGGAGGGGCCTGGAAGATACCTTCTTATCCCCTCAGAGAGGTTGCAACCAGGACGCCTTGTGTAGATGTGAACATTCCCTGATGGCCGGGAGTGAACAAAGGAAAACATGGGGGCTTTCAAAGGTAACTTTTTAAATGCTATTCCCTATGTTTTCAGAAAGTAATTACTGAGGTGTATTTATCCCTCATAAGATACAAAGTCTTCCCGTGCTACGTTTATAGGTGAATGAGTTTTTTTTAAAGGTAAACACCTGGGTTGTCATCTCAATCAAGATCTTAATAGGGGTGGTGAGTCTATGACTAGAGCTTTACATTTTAAAACTGTCACATGCAAGTCTTAATCTAGTATCTTCACGTCATATATAAGAACAAGGAGCCCTGAAGGAGTGAGGCTCCGGGTCTCCAGGCACAAGGCCAGGTAGCGGAGTTGGACCTGCCCTGAGCCAGCCTGGAGCTGGCCCACACATTGTCCCCCAGGTCCATCTGTCACTTGAGAAGGTCAGTCCTTAAGCCTGCTGAGGGCACCAGATGGCCCCAGGCACAAATACTGGACAAACACAACTACAGTCTGCAATTTCTCCGCTTTACTCCGAGGCCACATCCCGTCCCCGTGACTTACAAGGACTTACAAACATGTTTTGTTTTGATCACAATACTTTTTAATGGAGTTTGAAGCCTATGTTTAAACACGAGGAGTTTCACTTCTGCTTTCTCTTTTAAAAGCAGAAATGCTGGAAGACAGAGGGCCCACGGTGCCACGTGCTCCCCGTCCCCGACAGCCATCGAGTGTTTGAAACCCCCCAGAGGCTCCTGGGGGCCTCCTGGACACCATTAAAATGTGCACGTTAGAACAGAATAAATAAAACTGTCTTTTTTGGCAGATGACATGATGGTCTATGTAGAAAACCCCAAGGAATCTACCAAGAAACTACTGGAACTGATAAGCAAGTTCGCAAGGTCACAGGAACAAAAGATCAAGACATACACACACACACAAATCATAGATACTGCTAACAGGCATTAGAAACCAAAACAAAAAATGCAATGCCACTCACAAGTGCTCCCCCAAAAAGAGGCACCTGAGCATCGGTTGACCAGAACACGAGCCATGAGCAGCATCTTTATGCTAAACATTACGAAACGCTGATGATAAAAGTCAAAGAAGATTTCAAATAAATCGAGAGCTGCACGACGGTTGTGGATCGGAAGAGTCAACATAGTAAAGATACCCATTTCACAATGTTGACCTATAACTTTACCGCAATTCCTATCAAAACCCCAGCAAGATTTTTTCATAGACAAAGACAAGCTTACTTTACAATATCTGCAGAAAGGCAAAAGAATTAGAATGCCTCAGGCGATTTTGAAAAAGGAAAAAGAGGGAGGACTTGTCTGTACTCCACCGTTACTAAGGAAGCACAGAAGCGGATGTTAAGACTGACGCACGTAGCCACGGCAGGCAGGACAATGCGGCATTAGAGGGATAGACAGGGAGGTCGGTGAAGAAAATACAGAGCCCCAAACGCCTGGTTCTTCCCTGTAGGGGCTCTAAGTGCCCTGGCCTTGGCCCTGAACTCTTGCTTGAAGCTTTTGTCTCTCCCTGGGCTCCGATTAACCTCTCCATCCTCTCTGCAGCGTCAATACTCTGCCGGCGCGCATCTCTGGCTTCCTGCTAGACCTCTGTGCTCGGTAACCCCAGTCGCACTGAGAAAGCGAAGCCCTGCCTCACCGGGCTGCTCCCCCCTTTCCTGTCTCTGTAAACGACGCCCCGTTCTCTGGTCTTCTAGGCTGAATCCCTCCGTACTCCCAGACTCTTTTCTTTCAGACTCTCCTCCCAGCCTGGTAGATAAGCCTCCCTAAGACACACCCACGGTCCCATTGTGACCTGCTCAAATCCATCCAAGGGTCTCAAGTCAAAGTTTGAGTAAGAGCTGGGTCCTAAGCCCCCGCCACATGCCTGACCTTTGCTATGCTAGGTTAGCTCCCTGTGTGCTGTCGCGTGGAAATGCCGCTCCCCGCACCTGAGGCACACGCGTACCGGGAGAAACTCACGTCACACTCTACTCGCTGACAGGTCCTCTGGGCCTGGCTTCCTCTCCTTGCCCCTCCCCCCCCTCAGCCGACAGCCACCCTTCCCTCATCACCTCTCAACCGCGACCTCCCTTCCCAGCCGGGCGCATCCGGCACAATGTTTCCCCTCCTGCCACTCAGCGGCCCTGCCTCTTCTGTGACTGACTGTGAACGTACCTTCTTAAGCAAAGTGCAGGGGAAGCTTCTCTCGTACCCTGGTTGTGCTTCTATACCCGCCGCCCCCCCCGCCCTGTGTGCTTTGCTCCCGTGAGGAGTATGTGCCTCATTAGACTGAATTTCTCCTTCGGGGTGAGTCTGGGGCCAGCCCCACGTCCCGCCTCGTGGGAGCCACACCAGGGCTCAGGTGTTGAACACGACAGCCCTGCCTGGTGACTCGGCACACAGGGCAGCGCTCAGAGGGCGGCTGGTCCGCACGCAGGGGGCGCGGTGGGGATGGGGCCGCTTGCTTGTGACAGACGCTGAAACTGCTCCCTATAAACTTCAGGGAGGGAGCCACTGACAGGCATTCAAAGACCAGCTGAGCCCTGGGGAAGCCCAGGGTGGCCGTGGCATCACGCCTTCCCAACGTGGTGACGCGTCTCCTCACCTCCACATCCTGCACGCTTGTCCTCAGAAACTATGTCTGCCCTCCTGCGGGAGGGGTTTATGGCCAACAGGCGGCCCCAGCCAGACTTCTCCTCAAGTGCACAGAGCCGGGCTCTCTGTGGGCTCTGTGCACAGGGGAGCTTGCTGGGTGGGGGACCCCAGGAGATGCTCGGGACACCCACGGCCTCCTTTGCCCACTACTGTGTCAACTGACCCCGGAACTCTAACTTGAAATTGCTCAGCCATGGCCACCATAGGCAAAGATGTGCTGAGCCCAATCATACATTCCCTGCTCACAAAGCCTCAAGGGGTTGAAGTCCAACAAAGAGATCCAAGAGGCGTCAGAAGAGGAGAAGGAAACAGGATCGCTCAAGACACGGGGTAGCTTCATCTGTCAGGACCAAACGCCTCTGGGGTTGCCCCCCTCCTTCCCCCAGAGAACTGAAGCTGGGAGGGGCACGTCCTCAGGGAGCCTCCTGTCTGCAGGGAGGTGGCGATTGCCCTGAGGGACACTGACTTACAAAGCCTTGGTGCCACGGAGTGAAGGGCTAGGCTTCTGAGCAACTTCCAGAGAATTCTTTCCCTTGGGAGGCAGGCATGAAGGCAGGGAACTAGGGGACTGGGGAGGAGAAAGGAGACCCCACACAGGGACCTGGAGACTCATCTTTCCTCCACTTGAGGACTGGAGCGAGCGCCCTCTGAGACTCAGGGCCCTCCCTTGAGGCGCAGGAACGATACCCCCAGAAGGCTCGAGTCCCCCGGAATCCAGGCTCTGCTGCCTCCAAGCCCTGGCTTGCAGAGCCCGCAGGTCTCTCTCGCCCAGTCTGAAGGGCTGTATTCCCTGGCAGGGCTTTTCTGGGGCTGGGGCAGGACTCGGCGGATCCCCCGGGCCAGGCTCACTGCGTCTCCCTCCAGGGCCCGCCTGACGCCTGCTCATGCAGAGGACGGCCCCGAGCATGCTCAGGAGCAGCAGCACCTTCAGGAAGACCAGGATCAGGAAGAGCATGATGCTGAGCGGAACCCTGTGGGGGACACGGAGACAGGAAATGAACTGCCTTCTGGGGGGGAAGCCCCAGGACCCTCTTGTCCCTGCTTCTCCCTGTGGCCTGATTCCAGAGCCCAAATAACTCCGATCAGAATCAAGCTGAGAAGGGACCCGCTCCAAGGCCCCTCTCCTCCCTTAGTCAAGAACCGCTCTCGGGACTCTCATTTGGCAGTGATGGAGAGAGAGGAGGTCCCCGGCTGTGCCTGCTGCCCAGAGTGTGCTCCGAGCAGTCCCTCTCTGTCCCTTCTCCCCTCAGCTCCCCCTTCATCAACATCATCCTCACGTGAAAGTCAGACGGCAGCATCCCAGCCCTCCTGTGGCACCTTTGGGAGGAGGAGACGGGGGTCCAAACTCCAGCCTGCGGCTGGCCCGTCTGCCCACAGACCCAGGAGCAGCTCCTGGGACTAGGATCTCTGATGAAGCGAAGACCCCTGGAAGCGAGCCCTGGCTAGGGACCGGCACTGCAAGCCCAGACCCGGTGGGGAAGGGCGGGGACGGGACGAAGGACCCCCGAGCCATCTGAAACCAGCCTCTGCCTGTGTCCCTGAGCCTGCTCCACGGGGTGAGGGGATGGCGTACTCACAGAATGAGTGATAGTTTCCACTCAGAATCCCCACATAGCCGTAGAGAACGTAAAAATCACAACCAGAGTTGGAGGAACACCCAACAGACAGTGAGGAAAATGGCATGGTGTGTCCCCAGCCCCCACGCCAGGGTCCCCCAGGCGGTCGACCCGCCTCGTCCATGGCCGCCAGGCCTCGGGCCCTTACCCTGGGCAGGGGGAAATCAGCTGGTTGGTGCTGAAGTTCCGCCTGGCGACCGTCGCTGGGAACGTGGACGGTCTTGGGGTCGTAGTAGGTGCTGAAGAGAAATAGCACGTCAGGCATGGCTCCCCCCACCCCCGCACCGACCCGTTCACTGCGCACCTGTAGGGACCTGGAAGGCCTCAAGAGACAGCCTGAAGCCAAGCCCAGGCGCCTCCGGGTGGAGCCCCTCAGGGACGAACGAGACTTTCCCAGAACTGGCCATGAGTCACCTCTAAGAAGTGCCTGGCTGTTCTTTCCATCCCAAGCGTGGTTCCGCCAAGGGGAGGGCAGGGAGGCTCCCCAGCCTGAGGAGGCGGGGGACGGCGGGCAGCCAGGAGTCTGGATGAAGATGGCCGGAGCCACGTGGAGCCTTGGGAGGGGCTCAGAGCGCCCTTCCCAGAGCAACTCAGGCCACTTTAGTCAACCGCTCAGGTGTCTGTCACCCAGTTCCTCCCAGGGACCTCCTGTGTCTAGACTATTGCATAACCTCCACCCCCATCCCCACTCAATCCTAACCTCACGACGTCCCCCCAAAAGCAGCCGTCCCAGAGGCTCAGCCCTTCACAGAGCACCCAACACAGGCTCAGCTTCGCCCAACAGCCTTTGAGGTCCTTGCAGCTGGGGACTTGTTGGATGTGGCACCCTCCCTGCCCTTTATGGGGAGGCAGAGACGCCTAAAGGGACTGACACCTTTCAACAGAAAGAGGTGGGCATGGGGGTGGAGCCCCACCGGGCACAACAGGAGTGCCTCCTCCGCCTGCCAGTGACGCCGAAAGGCGGGAAGGGGGATGTGGTGGCCACAGGGGAGGCTGCGGGGTTGCGGGATGATTGCGGAACAGCGGAGCCGTGAGCGTGCTCACAGGCCGAGGGGAAGAGCAGAGATGGGGGAAAGGCTGAGGAGAGGAGAGGGTGCGGCCAACGGACCGAGAGAGGACACGAACGAGCCAGAGGGAATTTAGCTCAAGGGCCTGGGGAGGCAGGAGCCGAGGCGTGAGAAGCCAGCCCAGCAGGATGCTCTTCAGCTGGAGGAGAAACCTCCACCCTCTGCCTACAAGGGAAAGAAGGAAGAATGGGTTCGGCTGCAGGGAAGTTTGCAGGTGAAGAAGGAAAGAAACTGAGAAAGTTCAGCCTGGCGTCCTGGGGTGCGCTTGGTTAAGAAGAAGAACAGAAGGGTCATATTAGAAGCTATGAACTTGGTGGGACTTTTTTCCAGCAGTGCTGGAGCAGGTAGACGACAAGTAGGGCGATCGACTTGCCCACGTTTTACTCTTCCACTGTTAGCATTGAAAGCACCCTCACCCCACGAAAGCTCTCCGTCCTGGGCAACCCCGATGGGTGGCCTCCCTGATTTCAGGATGGATTCAGGGACGACGGTTTTGACTGGTGGGTGGGGGAACGGTGCCGGGAGTTGAGGGTACTGGTATGAGAAGAAAGAATAGTCCCGTGCACACTGGAACTGGTTCCGGAAGGAAGTGGGACCGGGGCAGGAGCAGGGCAGGCAATAAGCTGGGAGAACGCGGCGAGAAGCACCAAAGGCCTGGGGGGGGCCCGGTTGAAAGCGGGGATAGCGGTGGGGGGGTGAGGGTACGGGAGGGCGGGTGCACAGAAAGCTGCTGGGAAGTAGCATGTTTGAGGAGTGTAGGGTTCTGGACACGGACCCGTTTGGGTGACAACAACATTCGCGATGTTGCGTGGAGTGGGGTTCCGAAACAAAGGGGAAATGCAGGCCACTGAAGGTGAGAAGGTCACTGAACCTGAGACAAGAATGTTTGACAAGTTGTTCAGTAAAACCTCCATGGCAATGACACGGGCTGGGGGTGGGGAGAAGCTGCCAGGTTCCCAGTGAACGTGGAGGGGAAACCTGGAAGCCAATGGCCGGCCCTGGCAGGGAGAGGCAGGGGGCGGAGCGGAGGGTGGGGCACAGGTCCCCAAGTGATACAACGTTAAAGCCTGCAGGTGGGATGGGAGCTGGGAGGACATGGGCGGGGCTTTGTGGCCCTGCAGCACACGGGGAGCAGGCGACAGCAGCTCCCCACCCCCCGCCTCGCCCGGAAAGCCTGCCTCTGGAAACCCGAGAGGCCCCTGTCAGGACGACGTGCGAGCCAGCGGGAGGGGCTGTATGTGCGAAGGCACAGGTTTCTGGGGGGCTGGGTGCAGTAGCCTTGGCTCAGCCCCTTCAAGGCGGAAGGGTCAGCCACCTCCCTCCCTGCCCACAGGGGGGCCCTCCCCAACACCACCAAGATGGAGGACAAGACCCGGAGACACTCCTCAGAATGGCCCCGCCCTTGTCCCCCGTCCTGGTCATACCCCATGCTGCTGGGGCGAGCGGGGCTTTTACCTGGGGAAACAGACACCTGCACCTGGAACGAGGGGTCACGTGACCACGCGTCAAAAATCCACGTTGTCTGGATTTTACACCAGTAGGACCCAGCGTCGGCGGCATGGAGGTCCCTCACGGTCACTGTGAGCACGAGGGCATCTGCGTTGTCTCTGATGGACACACGGCCATTCCTCTCTTCTCTCTCTTCTCCCTTGGTTTCCACAATCTTGTCACAATCTATGTCATGCTGTCCTCGGCACCAGTACTTGTTATGGTCCTTGTAGCTCTGCTCGTACCAACACCGGATGGTCAGGGAGCTGCCTGCGATACCCGTCACAAACCTGGGGCCCCTCAGGGACAAACAGCCTGGAAAACACAAGCCACATCCCAAGACTCCATCCCGATGCACCCCAGGGCCAGCCCAAGGGGGAAGTGGCTGGGGAGGTGCAGACGGCTCTGGCTCAGGGATGGGGGCCCGTAGGGACACCTGAGCCCAGGGCCTGAGCCCAGAGACCGGAGACTGGAGACTGCAGACTGCGGTCAGCAGGAGTAGGGACCTGTGCCTGGGCGCCCAGGAACACCGAGTAACCACACGGGGCCCCTGCCCCTTGGGGCGCGGAGACTCAGACCAGCGCTGGAGCCGGGGGCCGAGAGAGCTGGCTCTCCTGCCCTGTCCTGCGCCCGCAGCCTCTGCTGGTGGCGAGCGTCGGTCACGTGCCCAAACACGTCCCTGTGGAGGGGGGGTCTCTGCCTCCTGGGCCTCCTGCAACTCGGGCCTGTCCTTGAAGAGTCCCATTTACTCTGCTCGCCATGCGTCCTCGAAGGGGGACAAATAAATGCCTGGCTCTCAGCTCCTCTCCAGGGAGAATCAGCACACTCGGTCGTCACACACCTGGCTGCTGAGGAGGGCCGGCCCCGTGAGGCCTTCTGACACGGACCTGGGGCATGGGCTGACCACCCAAAATCATAGTCCCCACGGCCTGGAAAGATGGGACGGAGCAGAGCCAGGAGCTGAGATGAAAAAGGAGACCAGAAATGTGAGTTTTTACAGGTGACTTTGAAGTTTTCATCTGGGCCCCAGCCGCAAGTGCCCTGGAGGGACAGGTAAACCTGGGGTTGCAGGGGTCAGCAGCACCCAGGTGGGGGGGGGGCGGGGGGGGCCTTAGGTAATTTGATCTCCTTTAAGCAAGCAGATTTCAACAAGCAGTGAGTGCAGGGGAAGCAGGGAAAAGCCTTGATGTGTAGTACTGGCCACCTCCCAGGTACCCTCGCCACATGCCGTCACTGGACGTGAAGTCAGGAAAACAAGCTCATAAACCAGCTCCCACGAGCCCGAGCGAGCTGGCTCCAGCCACCTCTGCTTCCACTATGGCGAGTCAAAAAATGTCATCATCTTGTAAGACTTGTTGAGCACCTGCCACGTGTACTGAAATGCATCTCTTTTAATGTCTTTCTGAGTCTAAGACCTGGGCCATAAGGGCCTTAGGACACCTCGAAGACCAGCCAGTCTGCCCATCCACCCCACTTACTAGAAAGCCGCACTACCTGCGGTCCGTATCCCCAGCTGGTTTCTTCTTTTAAATCTCTTTCTTCTCACCTACTTTTCTGGAAGAGTCTGCCATTACGTGGGCAGGTTCTGTGCTTTGTGAGGAAACCCAGCCAAAAAAAATTAGCCTCACCCCGGCTGGAGTGGCTCAGTGGATTGAGCACTGGCCTGCAAAACAAAAGGTCAGGGCACGTGCCTGGGTTGCGGGCCAGGCCTCGGGTGGGAGCGTGCGAGAGGCAGCTGATGGATGTTTTCTCTCGTACATTGATGGTTCTCTCCCTCTCTTTCTCCCTCCCTCCCTCTCTCTCTGAAAATAAATAAATAAAATCCTTTTAAAAATACAAAACAATATTCTGCAAACATGAAGGATATCCTCTCATATTTATCGTAAATCTACATCCCACAGGGGGTAGGGAGGAAATGCCCTCACGCATTTGGAATGTCTTTTCTAAGAGTTTCTCTTCTGAAAGCCCAGCCATGGATGGACAGTTGTCTTTACTTGCTTACACCACACCTTGACTCTTAAAATGTAAGGTGAATGCTGAGAACAGCATTGTAGACCATCCATTAATTCTTTCTAATTAATCTTTCCAACTCTTTCCAACTAAACTCCAACAAAACAGAGCCACTGCAAGTTCCTGAACTTTCCATGACCCCTCCTGGCTCCACGCTTTTGCTTACGCTATTCCCCTTTCCCACTTATTCTTCAAGACCAACGTCCAGTAAGGCCTCAGTGAAGACCCGCATCCTTCCAACAGCAGAGCTCGAGGTCCCTGCCATGCATTCTCATCCCCGCAGCGATGAGTCTCTTCTATAACAAATTCCACACTGTATTGTAACTACTTGCCTTCCTCACTCAACCCTGAGCCCCTGAGTGCAGAAGTTGCTCTTAATCACAGCATCTGGAACAGTCCTGGCACACACTTGGTACTCAATAAGTGTAGGTAGGATCTGTGGGTGAATGTTTAAATGCACAGAAGAATATACAGATAGATGGATGGATGGAGGGATGGATGGATAGATGTGTCCTTCCCGTTTCTGCTGTCACCTTGCCTCTGGCTTGAGCCCAGGGCACCCCTCCTGCCTCCTGTCCTGCCCCCTAAGTGAGCAGGCTCCCCGAACCCCAGCCCCGCTCACCTGGGAGGCCGAAGAGGAGCAGAGCCAGAGGCAGCCACATGGTCCTCTGTCCCTGGTTGATGTCCCCAGCAAGTCCAAGTCCCAGCTGAAACAAAGGAGTTTGCAGCAGAGCCTGGTCATTAACCCCCTACTTATCTGAAGTTCCAATGTGTCCCTGTGTCATTGACTTCCTTGTTAATCTCTAAGCTGCTTCCTCATTTGAAACCTTCCTTAGAAAAAGGGGAAGAGAGGCAAGAGGCACATCAGAAAATGGACTACACCCAACAAGGAAAATCTGCTGGTTTTTCCCTCTACTTAGTGACAATGTTTAGGCCTCACCCAGAACCTTCACAAAAGTCAATTCATGTATATGAAACCTCCAACAGGAGACCCTCTGTCCCCTGACTCTCTCTTCTTCTTTTCCAGGACTGTTCCTTGATTTAATCAGCTGTCCCTTCTCTCTGGCTGCCTACTTTTGGGTCACAAAACACTCCCACTTGAAAGATCTGGGGCGAGGAGAGGACCCCCCCTCCATACCTCCCTGCAGATGCCTCTCATATGTCTTCCCCAAACCTAATATCCTTCCTGGGCTCCAGACCCAGTTTCCTGATGTCCCAAGGGGAAACTCCTCCTGCTTGTACGCTCTTCATCTAATTCAGTGTAAGGGTGGTGGTCGAGGACGTAGATTTGGGTGCAGACTCAAGTACCATCTCCATCACTTACCAACGCTGTGTGTGCCCTTGGGCATGTTGCCAAATCACGCTCAGCCTCAGATCCTTCATCTATGAAGTAGAATAATAGGAATCATCCTTATCACACAAGAATAAATGAGGGAATATAAGTAAAGTGCCTGGAACACAGTAACTGATCAGTAAATGCTAAATATATTTTTTATTTTTTTTTAAGATTTTATTTATTGATTTCTAGAGAGAGAGGAAAGGAGGGAGAAAGAGAGGGAAACATCAATGTGTGGCTGCTTCTTGCATGTCCCTTGCTTCGGACCTAGCCCACAATCTAGGCATGTGCCCTGACTGGGAATCAAACCAGCAACGTTTCGGTTCACAGGCCAGCACTCAATCCACTGAACCACACCAGCCAGGGCCTAAATATCTTTAGAACAGCCCTGGACACTAAAATAGCTTCTCATCCGGTCTCTCAGCCAGCTACACACTCCCTCCAGTCCAGCCCACCTCTCAGTGGCTTCTGCAACACTTTCCCCAGAGATCGCTACCCATGGCCTTAAACTTACTACCTTGTAGAACTTCCTGCCAAATCATTGGCCGCTTCTAACTTTTGCTGTAAGGGCACAACTTCTGATTTTCCCTCTTTCACCATATCCGATGAAATGTGGTACATAGGTTAAGCCCCAGACCGTACCGACAACACTCTATTTCTTGACCATGTTGGTTGTTATATAAGCAGCTCTTTAAAATTATTCTGCAAACTATACATATCTGTTATATGCAGTCCTCTCTAGGTACAATATATTTTACAATTAAATGTATGTATGTGAGTACCTTATGCACTACATACAATTAAATATGCTTATATATACAATGGAGTACTGTCCATGAGATTGTGAGAGAAAAAAAAACTATGCCCAAGAATGTTATACCTCATAGAGAAAAAGAGACATTTTAAAAATGCGAAAACTCCAAATGTACACTAACAATGTATACTGTCTTTTTTACAAAAATAACTCATAATACTCTACCCTACTGAGAAATCAACCCAAGTAATTTACATTTGAGGAACATGTGGTATAAAGGGAATAACAGTGGGCAACAAAATCAGTCAAACTTTAAAATTTATGTTTAGGCCCTGGCCAAGTAGCTCATTTGGTTAGAGCGTCATCTCGATACTCCAAGGCTGCAGGTTTGATCCCCGGTCAGGACACTTACAAGAACCAACCAATGAGTGCATCAATACTTGAAACAACAAATCAATGTTTCTCTCTTTCTTTCTCTCTCTCTTAAAAAAAATCGATTAAAAATTTATGTCCTAGTCATTACTATTAATATGGTTATTATATTTATTGAAAATGCTAATGTTAATCCTTGGAACTAGACACATAATTTTTTACTTGATTAAAAACAAGCTTCTGGACCTCAAAGCCCAGATCACCATAGGTATTTCTCGCTTTCCGTAGCAACGGAGGGGAAGGGAGTGGAGGCTAGGTCAGGGCGCTCTGCTCGGCCGCTGTAGGTCTGTCCCCAGGCAGAACTGTGGCTGTGAGCGGGCAATCAGATACCCCTGCTGACAGCAGAGCGGGAAGCTGGCCGCCTGGGGGTGCGATCGGAGTCTCCTGGGCAAGACCTTAAGCGTCTCCCGGGAACCGGAAGCGTCAGAGCCTTGATGGCCGGAGGAGGCCAGGCAGGGTCCAGGAAACAGCAGCTGCTGTTCCCCCCTGAGCACAGTGCTCAAGGTTGTGAGGCGGGGACCGTTGTCCCCACTTTAGAAATAAGAAAACAGAGGCTTGAAGAGGCCCTGCAACCAGGCATCGCCTCAACAAGCTCACAAACCCCAGTTTAGTTTGCTGCCCTTTGGGACTCGGGAGAAAGCCAGCGGAAGAAGAAGGGAACCTGCTTACAAGGAAGACCAGGAACTCAGCAGTGAGGAAGCAGGGAGGTCACTTGCCCAAAGCAAGCACAGGGTGCACAGAGCACAGCATGACTTAAGGGTCAGGGCAGCCGTTGCGCGGGCGTCCGCCCTGACCCATTCGGCCTGCCCCGCCCCACCGGCAGCCGCCCGGAGCACCTGGTACAGGCACACTTGGGAGAGGTGGCCGGAGGGACGAGGCACAGCACCTGGGAGAGAGGGTTCGTCCTACCACCGCCCTGTCACACCACGGGGCACGTGGAAGCTGCGGCAGTCCAAAGACGAACACAGACAGCATCGTTAGTCATGAGGGAGCTGCAAGTCAAAGCCACGACAGACACCACCTCACACCCCCTGCGATGGCCAGAATCAGAAAGTCAGGGGAAAGTCTTGACAAGGCCTCTGTTGGTTTTCCCCAGCTTCCGCTCGTGCTCCGCAGCAGGCGCCGGGGTACGCGTCAGCGCCCCCGCCCCGTGTTGGACGCCTAGGCTGCCCCCAACTCCCTGCCGCCATGAGCGGCGCCAGGATGAACGGCCGCCAGCGCACCTCCTGTGGACCTGCGTGCGGAAGTCCCCGCGAAGGACACCCCAAGGCAGGGCTGCCGGGTGCCGGGGCACACGCAGCCTGGCAGACGGCTCTGCAGCATGGGCACCCGTGGGCCCCTGGGTCAACACCCAGAGCCTGTTTCATTCAAGTGGAGCATCGTCTTCACGAACTGTTCACCTTGTGACTTCCCCCTTTGATTCCAGCCGGCAGTTTGGGATGGATTTGTTTAGTCAGGTAAAAAAAAAAAAAAATGCAGTGATTCCTCAAATCTTACCCAAATCCCTCAATCTAGACTGTCAAGTGCAGTTTGGGATGAAATCACGATCCTGTTTGACCCTCTGTCCACCCCGCAGCAGGAAAGACCCGACTTCAGCCCATGCCAAGCCAGGGGAGTGAGGTAGCACTGCCTGGTAAAACAGCCACTGTCGCTGGGGCCTGAGGGACGCTTCGGGCTCTGCCCACCCCACACCAGTGTCTTCGTCTCCTTCCTCCAGGTCCTCTACGATCGAGAGGAAATGGTGCTCCCGGCGGCTCCACGGAGGGTTGCCCGGCCACGTCTCACCTCCTGCCCTACCACCTGTGCTGTTTCAATGACACAGGCTTTCCAGTCAGGCACCAGGACTACCGGGGACCTTCCTCTCCCTCACGGGACCGTCGCTTCATCACCGTGTCCCCCACACTGTGCCTTCTAAGGTCCTGAGGACTCAGAGTAAAATAGCCTGAAAAGCACAAATCCACGCACCCTTAGGCAGTGTGTCCTGAGGCGGCGGCGCCCCCGGCCCCAAATCCAAAGCCCCACTCACCTGGGAGGCAGGGGGGTAGGAAGGCCCTGGGAAGACACATCTCCTGGCCTCAAAGGGCTGTCCCCGACCCCATGTCCAGGAAGAAGGACCCGCCCAGCCCTCTTGGTTCTCCAAAACTCCCAAGCCAAGTTCTTGCTTCTCTTTTTTTTTGTTTCTGCTTCTATTTCCCTGCTTGCTATCACTTCACGTCTTATGTTTCAAAAACAATTGTTCTCAGAAGATATAAAAGAAAGCTCCCTAGAAAACTTTTTAAAGTATGCACGTGTGGGGGGCAGGGTGGAGGCGAGAAGAAAAAAGGGATAAAAAAAAAAAGTAGGGACTTGAGGTATTTGGTAACTAACCTAGAAAGAGGAATGCAGCTGCTAGAAAGGGCTTTGTGGTTCACTAAGTGTTTTGGCTGAGATCCACCATAAGGAATAAGTTTTACATGTGAGCCTAGAATCACCACCCATATTTTACACCAGAAACAAAAGTCCCATAAAATAATACTTAACCTTACTACGTGCTCTGCACAGGGATGTTTTCTATTCTCTTTCCTTTTTTTTAATGCTGGCTGCATGCCCCCAGTTGATTTTATAACGTAGTAATTATAATTCGTCATAGCCTACCGACCTGGTCCAACCCTGTCCAGGTAGAGCTGAAGAACCCAAAGCCCAAAGGTAAGTTACTCAGAGGGCGGTGTGTGGTCAGATGCAAGGCAAGACCAGCACCCAGAAGCCCGTGACTCTGATCCAATGCTCTTCGCCTCTCCTTGGGTAACCTCAATGATGCAAAGCACCTACTTAGTTTGTTGAAGAAATCACCAACTCAGAGAGCCTCTCCTTCTTCCCTGAGGTCACCGCTCACCTTTGGCGGAACCAAGTCCCTCCTTCCGATAGGACCCCTATCAGTCTTAGTGCTGTGGTTGGTGAAAGTCCAGAGTAATTGCTGCTGTCACGCCCCCTCCAGGCGGAGCTTCAGGGCAGTGGGACACCAAGTGAGAGGGAAGAGGCCACCCTCCCTTCAGAAGGCAAAGTTTTCGTTATGCTCGCAAAGATACCAGACCCAGTGGAGGTCGCCCCCACCCACTGCTCCGTCTTTCCCTCTCGCTCCCTCCTCCTCCCTCCCCGCCCTGCCCCTCTCTCTGTGTCTCAGGCTTGAACAGGTAGCTCCGTCTTCATCCTCCTCAGATCCAGGTCTGTGATGCATCACGGGCACAGGACCCACAATGCCGATCCCAGGGTCATGCCCCACCCCCAGGTCACCAGCCAGTGCTGCCAGCTCTGCCCACTCCCAGGGTACCCTCAGGACCAGGGGAGGGTGGGGCGCTGCAGGCAGCACGTTTTTAGCACAGCCCGGTGGTGCCCCACCAGGCCCAGGCCCACACCCACGCTCAGCTGGGATTACCCAACAGGCAGACTCAGCCAGCGCCAGCAAATAACCAGAATATACACAGGATTCCTAAAACTCAAAAGAAAGGAAAAAAAAGGAAAACGGGCAAGAGATTTCCACAGACGTTCTTCTCCAAAGATATTCAAATGGCCGATAAGCGCCTGAAAAGGTGTTTCACGTCGCTGATCGTTGCAGAAATACAAATCAAAACTACAATGAGATGCCCATAGGATGTCTACTATCCAAAAAACAAATCAAAAAAGCCCAAGAAACAGAAAACACGTGTTGGTGAGAATATGGGGAAGTTGAAGCCTTTGTGTACTGTTGGTGGCAATGGAAAAAGACACAGTGGAAAACTGTATGGTAATTCCTCAAAAAGTTAAAAATAGAATTACCATGAAATTCAGCAGTTGCACTTCTGGGTATATACACAAAAGAATTGGAAGCAGTTGCAAAGAGACATGTGTACACTCACATCCATA